TGGAGTAATGTGGGTCTTTTAGACCCTCTGTGATGCTTGGGTAAACATACACAAAACCAGTTAGATGGAGCATAAAAGTGGGTCCAAATCTGATTTTGCCATATGCACACTTTCAAATTAATCCAGCTAAAAGTATTACATTCAAAGAAGGAGAAGGATTTTGACTTGGAGTTTTTAGGGAAAAAAGCTTAATTATATATTAAATTTGTATTGGAATCGTTTATTTATGTATCCAACTCCTTTATTAAGATAGAAGCTTTCTGAAGACAGGAACTATGTTTCTCTTGCTCATTATTATGCTTCTTTTCTCTGCTCTTGGGCTGCTGGTGTTTTTATCTTAGTAAGCTGTCACTTTTCTGGCATGTGTATTGATCCTGGAAGATCTTCTGAAATGTCTCTTGAGGTAACAAAACAAAACAACAGAAAATAAAACAAACAAAAACTAACACTGCCTACGGGCAAAGGCAGCTGTTCTGTGAGCTCAAGGTGGCTGCAAGGAGGGCAGGCACTGGTCAGCTGCCTTGTTTTGCTGGAGACTCCCCTTCGAGTGTTGGGCAAACCAAGATGATTATTCATCCAGCCAGGAGCCCAAATTGAAAGGGCTTATCAAGGCTAGTTTTCATCACAGTGGGCAACAGTCCTAGCTCTTGTTCTGGAAGGATGACCTGTATGTGGCTGGCTGACATTTTTAAGCACAGAGTGAAATATTTCCATTCAGCAGATGTGTATTGTGCACCTACTGTGTACACCTGGTTGCAAACGTCCAAGGCCTGGAGATTTCATGATGAGGAAGACAAATACAATCCTTGCTTTAGGGAAGTTACATCTTGTGGAAGAGAGAGATAACAAACACTTGTAGGGCACAGATTTACAATGAGAACTAGAACTATTGTTAAAAACTGAAGAAAAATAACAGTTTGGGGAGAGAATGATGAGGACTACTATGTTAGGTAGAATAATCAGAGGTCTCCAAGGTCTCTGTTTGACATTTGAACAGAGCAAGGATGTCTTGCAGATATCTGGGAGCAGAGGGTACCCAGAAGAAGCAGTAGGGGAAAAGACCCCATGGGGGATATTGAAAACCAGCCTCCAGACTCAGTTTGTCAGTGCAGATAATGAAGCACTTTGACACCAAGAAATCTCGACAAGGCTTTTAGTTTTGCAAAAGGACACAAGCATACCCAGCACTGAAGTAGCAGGAGCCCGGATATTTAATCCCTGATGCATGAGAAGCAGCTATCCTTTAAATTCACTGACTGAATTTAAAGGCTCACAACCTATCTTGGTTGGCTAGGTTAAGATGCAGGAGAGGAGGATCCGAAGGGTTGCTGAGGGGAAGCGGAGTGAGAGGCAGAGGCTGTGGGGGAGAGAAAGCCCTTGGCTGTTGGTGAGCTAGCTTTGTAAGGCACTGGGAGGGCAGCGTAGAGTAGATCAGAGTCTGAGGTAGAGGTCCTTTGATACAAAAATTGGGGCATCAGTTTCTCACAGGAACATGCCAAGCAGGAGGGAGCTTGAGGAAGCCAGTGTGGCCAGCACGCAGAGCAGAAGAAATAGGGTGTGGAGGAATTCATGGATGGCCAAATCTCCCAGCAGCACTTGCTCCCACAGTGTACCAAAGACACACGGATACAGATTGTTCACAAGGACACACAGTGGTTGCCTCTGGAGACCGGGACCAACAGCTAGAAGGAAAACTTTCCTCTTTGGATATTTTTTTCCTCTGTGGATTTTTTTTTAATCTGCTTTTTTCCCCTTGAGACAGGGTCTTACGATATAGCTCAGATGGCCTAGGTTTCATATTGCCAGGCTGGTGTTAAACTCAGGGTTCTTCGGCCTGAGCCTCTCAAGTGCTAGGGTTACAGGCATGTGCCACTGAGCCTGACTCTTTTTTTTTAAGATCAAATATATTTATTACTTTTCTGAAAATCTTGTTAGTAGTTTAATTTAAAATAATAAAAATTATTTTATAATGACTTTAAGTACTATAATTAATAAAACTTACAGTGCAATAAGGGTACCATTGGGAAGGAGAGCTCTAGGCTGTTTATCTGAGCCATTCTGGTGACAGGGCTGTGCAGGCTACAGGACTTGAGCCACGGTAGTGGTGGCTTTGGGGAAACAGAAGCTCAGAATGAGGGCCTTTCCACTGAGACTGGGTCCTGGCCTTCACCAGAATACTCCAAGAGAGAAATCTGGGTTTCTTGATACAGACATGGGACTTTCAGACTTGTATCTGTCAAGTTGGCCTGGCTAATGTTGAGTGAAGTTTGCTCCCCTAGGTCGGGCACAATTTCAACCCGCCTCTGTCAGCTGCCCAACAATGCATTCTGTCCTGCTGCTTGGGGAACACAAATGGGTTAAACATCCAGAGGAAAGTTTCCCATCCAGGAGAAAAATGAGGATCTAGAGAATTTCCAAATAGGATTTCCAATAGGACTGGGGTGGAGCAGGGAGAGGCTGTGAATAATAATATAAAGGCCAATCCCAACCAGAAACCTGCACAGCAGTCTTGCCCGGGGTGACTAACAGCTTCCTAAATATTGGAGAAACGTTCCCTGAGGGAGATAACTTGACCTGCACCTGTGTTCCCAGGCAGGAGGGAAGAAGTGTAGAGCTTTGGAGAGCCACATCCTTGCAGCACGGAGAGAGAGGAGGCTTCCCTATCACCCCTACAAAACACACACCAGAGCACCATAGAAGTGGCAGCTACACCCAACATTTGGTAGCCCTTTCCTTCAAGCAGCATCTGCTACAGAAGTCTTTCCTGCCTTGTGGAGCCAGGGGCCTCCCCTGATCCTGTTTTCTACATAACAGTGAAAGGGGAAAGAGGGAAATGTCAGGGTGCTTTCTGAGGCCTCCCACATACAAACACACACTCTCTACCAAGGATCACCCAGTGGCACTGTATAGTGAGCCTTTTTATTTTGAGATAGGATCTGGCCTCCAACTTGCCTCCTCCTGCTTCGGCCTCTGAATGAGTCACTGTGCCAGGCCCCAAAGGCCCCATTCTTGCCCCTGGTCCACTGTCCTCCTTATCTCAAAGGCAAGATGAGAGCAGAGATTATGCCTGTGCTGTAGCTGCTCAGCTGGCAAACCCACCAGGAGGCTGGGCCCCTGTGAGTGTGACACTGCTGCTCCTGTCTCCCCGCATCTGCTTTGGAAAAGAGACCTTAAGTTTTCCACATAGAGAGTTTTGATTACCATTTAAAACGATGGGCTTCTGTGGACATGTGTCACTTTAATTGAATAAAAAAGGCAAACAAGAAAACACTTGGTAAACAAATATCCCACCTGGGGAGGAAGGCTTACATTCTCACAAGGAGCCTGCTCTCCCTGTCGCCCGCTGAGAGGCTCTGCTGTGGGGATGGGCACCACGTGGCAGCCGCCGGGGTGCATGGTGCTGGGGCTGAGCTGGCAGGAAGGGCAGAGCCTTAGAGCTTAGTTTTCCTGTGAATTAAAACAACACCCAGCAGTGTGACTTGAGAGACGGCCTGGCAATCAGAAGTGAGGTTACTTGCCTTTCACTTTTAATGAAAAATAAGTGTTCGACTTAGAGGACTAAGAGTATGAAGTTCAGTTTTTAAACTCAGTCCACCAAATGACAGCTAAAGACAGAATAGAAGTGAACACTATTGGAAAAACTGTGAGTTAGGACCTTAAGTTTGGTTGAATTGCAGGGAGTAACAATGAACAAATGAATGACCATAATCATCACCACCCCTGGCATTGTATACAAGTTTGCAGCAGGAAATATAACAGTTACATGCCTGGGAATTCAAGACCACATAAAGACTGATCAAACCTACCCTGGCGTTGTGGCACGTACCTGTGACCCCAGGACTCCAGGAAACTGAGACACAAAGATTGCTAAGTTTGAGCCCAGTCTCAGTCTGGTCAACTTAGTGTCGTCATAGGAAGGCTGTCTTTCAAAATAAAAATTTTTTATAAATGCTGGGATGTTGAGAGAGAGAGAGAAAGAGAAAGAGAGAGAGAGAGAGAGAGAGAGAGAGAGAGAGAGAGAGAGAGAGAGAGAGAAAATAACTGAGGATGTAACTCAGTGCAAAGGCCATGGGTTCACTTTCCATTACCAAAAGAGAAAAGAAAAGAAACTGAATAAATTCAAGAGCCCATTTTAAAACACATCTTAGTCCAGGTGCAGCTACCCAGCCATGTACATGTGAGAAAAAAATTCCTGGAACAGTAGCTTAATATTTGTACATTTGTAATATATGTAAATTGTATCAGTTTAAACCGAAAGAAACATGCCATCCCCATCAGTTGGACCTGGTAGCGCAGTTGCACTGGCCCCGCGGGGGCCCCAGAGTCTAGGAAGGCAGGGCAGGGTCTCAGGACAGGGTGCAGGGATCTCTGGACTCTTCCCAGAGGCAGCAGCCCCCATGCAGCACCCCAGGCAGGTGAGAGGTGCACACAAGCCTGTGGGCAGTCACACTGCCGCCCAGAGAAAGTCCTGGGCGGACAGGGCACAAAATATTCACACACAACAACCAGAGAGCCAGTAGGGCGAGGCTGCCTGGTCTTAGGAAGGAGCTCTGACCCCTGTGTCTTCTCTGCTTCGGGGCTTGAAGGACAGGCAGCAGCTAAGTACTTAAGGTGACAGAGGGCTTTCTGAACCTGCAGACAGCTTGTGGAAGAGACATGTGACCTCAGCCTTCCAATATGAGTCTGTGACTATCTGCCACGCCGGATACACCCAGGATCCTACCTATTCTTCTTTCCTAGACACTGACAACTCTCTGAGGATGCCACAGACCCAGGCAGCCTGTGTATACACGCAGTACAAGACCCCTGTCATCTGAATGCTCAGAAACAGGGGCTGGCTGGTGGTTCTCAGAGAAGAACATGCCCCTTACAAAGGTGGTCTCCAGGTGTGCTCGAGAGGCTGGCTGGAGGACCAGGGTCTGCAGAAGACCTGCCCATAGGTAGGGGTGGGTGTCCACGCTCCCAGCTATTCACTCCGCCACTCATGTTCTTCCCCGCAGGAGGCAGTGTCGCATTGTCCCGAAGAAGGCCAACTGGCCCGAATCCAAAATGTTATCCAGGAGCTTCCCCCCTCCCATTATAGGTAAGAATCCTCGGGAAGAAAAATGTGCAGCCCCTTCGCGTGGCATAGTTCAGGGGTCAGGTGTGTGCGAGAATAGCGGATTCGGTGGCAGCAGCTTTCCTGAGGGCATTTTGAAATTAGTGAACGAGTCGCACTCTTTGTAAATTGGAGCCTTCTGTAGGACCGTGGCAGCAAAGGTCAGCCTGTGTCCAGTGGCTTCTAGGGTGCTTACCAGAAATCACATAGGAAATCATTCTAATCACATGAGCCAGTCTTCTGGTGACATCCTTGCTTTTTACCCAGATTTGTAGCTCATTCAAATCTGTAGGAACCCAGGTGGCTTTCGCCCAGGGGGTGTCTGTGGCTCTGCAGCCATTGGTTGGCTGATGGATGCTTGCTCCTCTGGATGCCCTCTTCAGGAGCTGCAATGCTCTCATTTAATCCTCACAGCTCAGCCCCCACATGTACTGCCTCCTCCAGTGCCCCAGCCCTGCCTGTCCTCTGTAAGGGACAGACTGTGATGTGGTATAAAAACAAACTTCCTAGCAGTGACACCTGTGGTTCAGCCACAAAATGAGCTTCCTTACCTGTAGCTGGAATTTGTTATCTTTCCAAAAGCCTAAATGAAGCCTGGTTCACAATGCGGGGAGGCCACTTCCACCTGGAGAGGAGGAGGAGCAAGGGGCCACTGAGAACCCTCAGACCCTGAGCTCTGTGGCTGTCTGGTTCTAGTCCTGGCTGGTGCTCTCTGGGCCTCAGCTGACTTCTGACAAGACTGACCCTGGTCCCCACCCTGGGCCAGTGTGCGCACTGCTGGGAAAATGACTTCCACCAAATCTCAGTATTCTCCCAGTGGTCCTTCCAAGTTCCTAAGACAGAACTCAAGCCTAGAAGTGATCTCCAGGTGTCAGGCTCTGCACAGGCACTGAAGTGCCTTGCTCTGTCAAAACAAACGAAGGAAATGAATCGTTACAGGACCCTGGAATACTTGATCCGACATCTGGCTCACATCGCCTCCTTCAGCAGCAAGACCAACATGCACGCCAGGAACCTGGCCCTGGTGTGGGCCCCGAACCTCCTCAGGTAACTGCGGCACCCTCAGCTGTTCACCGCCCCTCAGGGGCGGCAGGCAAGGAAATAAAGCCTGGGGCCTGCTGGCTCCCCAGAACACACACCTGCTCCTGAATGATGTGAATGAAAGGGAGTTTTAGCAGTCTGAACTCTGCTTCCTACTTGGAAACTCTGGGTTCCAAAGCCATTTCTTAACTGTAATCACAGTGTGGCTAAAATTATGCCCCTGTATGTTATAATTTCATAAAAAGCTCTTTCTTGTGGTTGGGGCTCATTAGCTTTCCTTGGTTTTAGTGGAGTCACAGCTGACTTAACTTGAATCAGCTGCCTGAAATAATGACCTGTCCCACAACTGGACAGCGGGGAACGGGGACCCTAAGAAGAACAGAAAATGTCAGTTCCTGTACATGCATGGGATGGTGTGCACAGTAGTCTCACATTTACAGTGTCTGGTAACTTCTAAGTTATTTCAGTGGGCTAGGTTCACAGCCTTTGGAGAGATCTTTTAGTTGGTCTTCAGTAGTTAAAATATTCTACACACTAACAGACTCTAGACTGGGGGCCCACAGGCTTCCTTAGTGCTTCAGGCTGTGAGGCAAATGCATTTATCCACTGACACCCCTTCTCCCGTGGTTCAGGTCGAGAGACATCGAAGCGGCCAGCTGCAATGGCGACGCAGCCTTCCTCGCCGTGCGTGTGCAGCAGGTGGTAATTGAGTTCATACTAAGCCACGTGGATCAGATCTTCAGCAGCAGGGCGCCTGGGGCTCCAGAGAAGGATGGTAAAAAGTCTCCCCACACCTGCCCACCCAGCCTGTTCTTTCTTGCCCTGGTCATGAGGCCCAAGACAAAGTGAGGGTGGGGTTGGCACTGGCTCTGACTTGTGTGTGCTGGGTGCGTGTGTGCACTGTGTTAGCATCTGGGGATCATGCGTGTGTGCAGCAAAAGAGATAGTGTGTGCAGTAAAGGAATAGTGTGTTTGCACATGGCTAGAGCATGTTCCTGACCAGTGATGTGATGAGACAGAACCTCAGTAATGTTACTGAGTTCTGAAACTTCTTTTAGATATTATCTAAAGGGACTAGCAACATTTTTGAGGGTGGATACTGGGTATTAAACCTTGCACTTGCCAGGCAGGCACTGTGCTGCTGAGCTATATCCTCAGCCTGAAACATTTTTCTTAATGATTAGATTTCATCTTTACTTGCTCTATAATATTTAAGAAGATTCTTATGGCTTCATCTAAAAATGTTTGTTTGTTTGTTTGTCTGACACAGGGTCTTGCTATGTAATTAAGGATGGCCTTAAACTCACTATATAGCCCATGGTGTTTTTGAGCTTGCAGTGATCTGCCTCAGCCTCCACAGTGCTGGGATAACAGGCATGCACCACCATGCCTGGCTTTCACCTAGAAGTCTTAAGGAATTCATTCTCTCACATATATTCAGAATGCATTTTCTTGGCAAGCATTTCCCATGTATATGAGAACCATATCTGTTACCTGATTGAAGTGTTCTTGTCCAGTTAGCTAAATATAGTTGAGCAAACCACTATAGTTATCTGTATAATCTACTGCAATTACCATCAAATTTAGATGACTTAATTGAGAGAATATGGGCACCAAAGCTGTGTCCTTATGGCTCTGAGTCCCTACATTAGTATATATATATATATATTTGGTATGTATTGAACCATTAATGCATTTTAGTTCCTTTTCTGTTCCCTTTCCTCCTCCATCTTTGATGCCAACTTAAACGCTTTCAGAGCTGTAGACAGAATGTGATCTGCATAGCATCGCCAAGAGAAATTAGGGAATTCTCACAAGGGCATAAACACATCTCCTCTAACAGCACCTATTAAAATGCTCAAAGATTTTTTTTATGTACATGCCCCAGTTTTGTGGGTGTCTCAATGCAGTATCTATTTGATAAATGAGGGTTCTGAGACCAGAGAGGCTGTGAGGCCTCTAAGATTCATTAAAAAAGTAAGTAGGTCACTCTACCTAGCACCAAGCTCCAGTCAAAGGTGTAGCCTGTGCTTTGCTATTTTACCTTTTCTGACTTCTCTCAATGAAAGCACAGACCCTCATCTGTGCCTTTGCAGCAGCCTAACAAACTAGACATCCCACTTGCTGGGCTCAGGGCCCCTTGCATATCATACTTGTAGTCGACACATGTGGCCATGAGGTCAGATTGAGCTCATCTCTGCCCTACTTGGCTTAGGACCATCAGGCTGAGTCCAGTTTGGCACAAAGCAGGCAGTCCAGGAGAAAAAAATTTATCATAGAGATTGAAACCTAAGGTTCTTCTGGACTCTGGGCATCCAAGGGCAAGGACTAAGCTGTGGAGACACTAATGTGAAACAGTTGTCATAATCCAAGTCCACTGACTCATGAAGTTGAAGAATGAAATCATAGACCAAAAGGAAGCTGAAGGGGAAGCGTTTATCGGGAATATAAGAAGAAAACAAGCTCTTGGTGGGCATCCAGGAAGGCTCCCAGAAAGTGGGGCACCACATAGCCCCTTGGTCCAGAACTTTTTTTATGGATAAAGGGAGCACAAGAAATTGCTCATTTATTTAGTGACCACTTATCACAGATAGCTCTGTGGGTTTAAAGTGACCAGTTGGAATTCAGGCTCTCTAAACTACTTACTCAGTGTGAAGAGTTTAAAGGAAACTATTTTAAAGAAAAACTGATTGTTCTGCACTTTTAAGTGGAGTTTAGTAGAAAGGAGCTGTAACTACTTTAGTAGAAAGAGGTTGTATCCCATGTTGCCTGAAGACCTCCTCATTCTAAGTCTTGGTTTTATTGTGTATCCTTACTTTAATTCTTAGCAATATGAATGATCACCCAACTCCAACTCAGGCCCTTTCCCTAGCTGGATGCTAACTAATTCAATTGTCTTCTACATTAAAAAAAAGTAAACAGGTATTGAGTTCCTCATATATACCAGATTTTGTCCTAGACATTAAAGACACATCTGTTCACAAAGTGGCAAAGACCCTGCCTCACAAAGAAATATGGTCTGGTTGGAAAGGCAAGTAATATATTTTACCAGTAAATACATTATCACTTCCAAGTCCATAAATACTGAGAAGAAAATAATCCCATGGTCAGTGATTGAGAGGTGTTGCCTTGGGACATAGTAGTCATGGTTTCAGATAAAATGTTCCTTAAGTGGAGACAGGAAACCAGTCACGTGAGAATCTGGAGGACAAATATCCCAAAGCGGGGAAAAAAACTTCAAAGTAGAAACAGGTTTGAAGTGTTACAGAAAGTGAGAGCCACTGTGATCTCCAAAGTGGGGTGCGCCACCAACTGGGTACCACAGACCAAAGTACTGAAGTTTTGGGAAGTGTTAGGAGAAACTATGAGGATTTTTTCATACATTTTTCTTTTATTGTTTTAATCAGCTTTTCATTGCTGAAATACAGTGCCCAACATCCATAATTTAAAGAGGAAGAGATCCCATTTGGCTCATGTTTTCAGGGGCTCAGGGTACAGCTGGATGGTCTGAGGCAGGAACATCGTGACAGGGGAGCATGGCAGAGCGAAGCTGCTCAGTTCATGGTGACCAGGAAGCAGTACAGGGGAACAGTGCTGGAGAGGAAGGGGCAAGGGGCCATCTGGGTACCTAAGGTCACGCCTCCACAGGCTCCCAGGCTCACCTGGAAGCATGCTTTATAATGCCCTCGTAATCCAGTCAAGCTGACATATTGCAGTTAACTGTCATGTGTTGTGTACATTATACAATAATTACTATTTAAGTTTTCTGTTCTATGGAATACTTATACAGAGGTATATATGTATAATTTATAAAGTACATGCACATATAAAGGGGATACACATTCAAATGTTTTTACTTAAAATTTTGTAGATCACTGAGTCATTGGGCAGAGTAGAGAGGTCAAAAAACCGAAAGATCCTGGCAGGTCGAGCTGAATCTGCTTTGCTCTCAGTGCCCTAAGCAAGCCCTGGGGGACTGTGAGGTGGTGAGTGTAGGATCTGAGTGCTCTGGCCGCTGCATTCCAAGAGACTGAGAGGCAGAAAGGTTGGAAGCAGGGAGAACAAGTTGGGGAGCCAGGGCAGGAATCAGGTGGGAATTCACACTGGTCTGTCCTCAGGTATCAGCAGAAGGGAAGGTGGCTGGATTCGGAATACAATTTAAGATAGAATTGTGTTAGCTTTCTCATTTCTGAGATACAGTACTCAACACCCACAACTTGAAGGAAGGAAGGTTTATTTGTAGTTTCAATCCATACACTGGCTCCCATAGAGAGACATCATGGCAGAAGGCGGTGGCAGAACAGAGCTGCTTAGTCCACGGTGCCTGGGAAGCAGAGCAGGGCAGGCTGCTGAGCAGAAAGGACCAGGAGCAAACGGAGACCCCACAGCCACATTGCCATGACCCAGCCAGGAACCCCTAAGTGCACTTCACCGGTCCCCGAGGCAGGTCCCAAGGCCAGTCAACCCCGTCCTAACTGCGGGGTGGCCAGCTTGCTGATAACAACGCTACGTGGTGGTGGTGGGGACACATGGAGCAAGGGAGTGAAATTGAAAGGAACTGCTCCAGGGTTTGGTTCGCACAGCGAGGAGCTCTGCGGTACCATTTCCATGGAGAAGAAGCTGGGAGTAGCTGTTCCTCTAAAGATGAGGTGTAACTCACGGTCTCTGACTTGAAATTTTTAGAGGTGCCTAAGCAAACACGATGAGAGCGCTCGGGTCCAGCCTCCCCCTGGAACCTGGAGCTGTGCAGATGTGGATCCTCGGGCTCAGACTCCTGACCCTGCAGTTCACCTGTCTCCATTGCTCTCACAGTGACTTACTTATTCTTTTACTTACTTATTTATCTTAAAAATTATCTATGAGCAAATATTAGAAATAAATTAAACTTTTTTATTATTTTTATTATATTTATTTTTTGGTACCAGGGATCGAACTCATAACCTCATGCTTGCCAGGTAGGCATTTCCACCACTGAGCTAAATCCCAGGCCCTATTATTATTAATTTTTAAAAATTTTTATTAGTACATGTCTGAAGTACATTATTATATTCATCATGGGGAATTGGTCCGTGTTCATAATGCATCTTTTTTTAAAAATTTTTTTAAAGTTTTTTATTTTAAGGAGAATAAAACCAAGCAAACTAAAACAGTGGAAGTGATACACAGATTTAAAAAAATAGGAGGTCAACAATTGCTACCACAGTGCCACCTGTTATCTTCAAAATAGTTGCCCATACCATCAGACATAGGAAAATCAAACAGAATAGAACCAATAAAAACAAAACAATGAACACAATGCAGGACTTCAAAACAAGATAATAGTAAATCCAAAGTAGCAACCATAATATATCTTGCTATCTTTGAAATAGCTGCCCATACCATCAGATATAACAAAATCAAACAAAACAAAACAGAATAAGATCAAATCAAACCAAACAATGAAAATGATACAGGATTTTAAAACAAGATAATAGGGAATTAACAATGGCTACCACCTTCTGCAGGAGATCCCCCATAGGTGCTATACTGCATATTGTTATCCTCTGAATAGGTGATCAGACTACCAGCTCATAATGCATCTTAATGGAATTTACTTCCATTAAAAGTGTAAACATTTTTAATATCCATCAAGTTAAGTTGGAAAATAAGGTTAAGTTCAGAAATTGTACTGAAATATTTTCAGGGTTGCAGAATGTATTTAACTTCAGTCCTGTAGAATGTCGGTCATGCTTACTGACTAGAAAGTCCTGGCTGTCACACGGTCTCCACAGTCTACAAAGCCTTTTCAGTGGCTTTACTTCCTTCTATTCAGAGAAGGACATGTCCTGCAAAGGTGCATGGAGCTGTTTGCTGACAACAAGGAGAGTCCCTATACCAAAAATCATCTTGTAATCTCTGTTGGCCCAAATTACCAAGTTTCCTTGGAAAATATGCAAAATCACCCCCAATTAAGAACCACTGATGAGCTGGATGCAGTAACACATACCTATAATTCCAGCATTCAGGAGGCTGAGGTAAGAGGATTGTGAGTTCAGAACCTGCCTGAGCATAGTGAGTTCAAGGCTAACCTGTACTAGAGTGAGAGTCTGTCTCAAAAAATGTGCCCATGTGAAAAAGGAGCCATTGATGGAGAAAGAGAGAAAGTTTGTATCACTGATGGTCTCATCACTGCTATAGAGTAGGAAAGGGTCTGTGCTGTCCACTAGAAGATAACCAGCAGTAGTGCGGTGTGTCACGTATGCTTCCCTGTGGACGTGGAAGCCAGTGTTCCAGGGTAAGTAAAGGCTCCAGCTTGCAACTGCCTTGGAGCAGGTGTTCTCTAGCTGTGAGAGGAGAGGCCCTCTCCTGCCTTACCCAGCTGAGCTAGGCCACCTCTGTGACTGGACAGACATTCCCAGCTGCCCAGAGTACTAGGCAGAAGTTGGAAACAGTAAAGACTCACGACGATTATTCTGGATCACATAAGTGTTCAATAGACATTTATTGGATGGATGGATGGTGCCTGTCTGGAAAGTCCTGAAAGCACAGTTACCCCCGAAGCCCCTATTTGGGGGAGTGTAGCTTTTACGCATGCATCTCTGTGACTGCATATGCATGCATGTGTATGTGGTACCTAGAACCTAAGGCCTTCACACTGAGCTACATACCCAGCCTTTTAAATTTTGAATCAGGATCTTACTAAGTCACTAAGTTGCTCTGGCTGGGCTGAAACTTGTGATCATCCTGCCTCAGCTCCCAGAGTGCTTGCATTCCAGGACTGCACCATCACACTCAGTACAATTGCCGGTTTTATGGGTGCAGCCTCAGCCCCAGCTGTCATGATACCTGGAGACGCCCAAGTCAACACCTGCCCTGTTAAGGAGGCCCAGCCAGAGGCACTCCCCGGGAGCCTGCAGGGCGGTCTTCTGAATGCAGCTCTCCTCTCTCCCTTACAGAAAGCCAGCCCATGGTGAAGAGCCTCACCCTGCCTGCCCTGTCCCTGCCCATGAAGCTGGTGAGCCTGGAGGAAGCTCAGGCCCGCAGCCTGGCTACAAACCACCCTGCTCGGAAAGAGAGAAGGGAGAACAGCCTGCCTGAGATTGTCGCCCCCATGGGTGCCCTCTTCCACACCGTCCTGGAGTTACCAGACAGCAAGTAAATGCATTCCTGTGACATTGGGGTGTGCTCGGGTAGCGGGGACAGAAGTGGAGCAGGGGCTCGGCTCACAGCTAGGATAGCAGTGAGGGCTGGGGGTTTGATCTAGGTGTCAGTTAAGAAACTTCCTCTACAGACAAGATCCCCTGTCTCCTACCAGAGACTCCAAGCCCCAGGCTGGGAACGGAGGCACAAGGGTCTCATCACAAGTCATGACTAAAATCCCTGACCTCTTAAATCTCCTTACATAAGGAAATTTACACAAACAAAAACCTGACGCCTGCCCTGCCCTGCATGAAAAAGGCTTCAAGATGAATCTAAAACCCAGAGAAAATCAACAGATTGGGAGTGCTCAGGGACAAGCCTCCCGGCTCCTCACCTCCTCTCCACCTGTCTGTGGCATCCCTCCCTCCAGAGCAAATCGTGCCTCCTCTGCCTCAGGAGGGTACCTTCTGTCCTCATCACCCCCTCCATTGCACCCCCTGTCTGCCCACCCCTCACCATGCTCCTCTCCAAAAGAGGCGGCGGCTGGCACAGTGATCAGTCACCTTACAGGAGATGTTGGCCGGGATGGTTGATCAGCAAAGAGATACATGGGAACGGGCACCTCAGGCGGGCCATTTCCCTCCTGGGAGGCAGGGTGAGGGCCATCACCCTGCACTGTCACACTGGGTGCTAGAGGAGCGGCACCCCTGAACTGCCCCCGGGGAACCCTCCATTTCTCCTCTGTGTGTGTCGGGCCTCCTGGAATCGAGTCCACAGCACCTCTCCCTTATCAGTGGAGAATAAGATTCCTTTTCCAGAATTGGGAAGAATTCCTGGGAAGTCCATTTTCTTTATGCTTTTGGCCCACAGCTGGGGCACACCATACCTCAAGTTATAAAAAGCACATCTGGGCCATGTGCTTAAAAACAAACACAAGTCAACTCCAAAGGAAACCCAGGCACTGAGATCTATTTCAGAATGATCATAAAGACAACTGAACCAGCTTAGAGTAGAGGCACATGCCTGCAATCCCAGCATTCTGGGGGGCTGAAGCAGAAAAGTCACGAGTTTGAGCCTAGCCTGGGCACCTTAGCAAGCTGGTGTCTCAAAAAACAAAAACATTTAAAAAAAAGTCAAAAGAGCTCAGGATGTAGCTCAACAAGAAGGCCTTGGTTTAATACTCTGGTAACACACACACACACACACACTCATGTGCACACACATGCACATGCACACCATAAACCTAAGATCTGGATATGCTGTGCAAACCCTTCAGAGAAGAGATCTTCTGTTGGACTACAGGTTGCAGAGTTCCACCTAGTCTGGTGGGTGGACCTCCTGGCCACAAGGCTTGCCTCTGTGGTGACCCCTAGTGGTGCCAGGTGCTCCCAGCCCAGTCTAGTGCTGTCCCCTCCTGCCCAAGTAGCTGGTGGCCACCCTCTGCATTCTCTGCAGTGACCACTGAGCCATCCTCACACACAGCCCAGATTCTTCCGGCTCTGTTTGCTCATCCCTCACTTTTTAGTCTGTGAAAGTCTTACCCAGCCCACACCTCACCTCTTCAGTGTTTACTCTTCACAACAAAACAAAAACTGCTATCTCTGAAAAGCCAGGACTGTAGCTTTTAGAGAATGTATAACTGCCTGATTCTTTGTGACCTTCAAATCTCCCACCAAGCTTCACCCCTACCCCACAGCTTTGGTACTGGCCCATGGAGAAGGGGTCTTTGCTCTGACTCACGGTAGCTGGGCATCTAGGGTGCCCCCAGACAGGGCAAGGTGAGAGCTGTGCTCGACTTGGATTGTACAGGGGAATTTCCTGAAACGTCAGAGCCGATCATTACAAAAAATGTGATTCTAAATTCCTTTTCAATTTACAAGTTCCCTGTGAGTGTCTGGTTAAATTAACCTCTTAATGGTTTGGCTCTTTTAGGAGAAAGCTTTCCAGTAAATCAAAGAAGTGGAAATCTATATTTAACCTGGGCCGTTCTGGATCAGACTCCAAATCCAAGCTGAGTAGAAATGGGAGTGTGTTCCTGAGAGGACAGAGGCTGTCGGGTAAGAAGTGAATCTTCCGCCACAAATGTTTGCTTTCTAGGTCTGCCTCTTAAGTCTTTGACTTGGTTACATCGAATCACTAGCTCTGCCAGGCAGGGTGGCACATCCCTGTGATCCCAGCACTCTGGAAGGCAGAATCACAAGTCTGAGCCCAGGCTGGGTGACTTAAACAGACCTTGTCTCAGAATACGAAGTTTTAAAAAGCCCTGTGGGTTGTAGCTCAGTGTGAAGGCTTTGGGTTCAACCCCATTATCCCCCCCCGACTCAAAATGAAAGAAAAAAAATCACTAATCCTAGCCCCAGAAGAGAAATTTCTCAACAGTGGATTTTTCAAAAAATAATAAAAATAATAGTTTAGTTTTTTCTTTTTCTTTTCTTTCTTTTTTTTTTTTTTTTTTTTTGCTTACAGAGATACCCTTCATGCAGCTTCTCCTAAGGCTAACATCTTCATAATGGCAAGACAGTTACTGCAACCAAATAATGAGTACAATCTTTGGTGTTTTTCGTTTTTGTTTTTGTGTTGGTCGTAGAACCCAAGATCACACGTGGCAGACATCCACTTTTCCTCTAAGCTACAATCGCAGCCCTTTCCATTTTATTTTGAGACAAAGCCAAAGTTGCCCAGGCTGACCTCAAACTTGTAATCTTCCTGACTAGCTGGGATTAAAGATGTGAGCCACCTCCCCACCTTAATTCTCAGATCTTATCTGGACTTTGACCGCTTGTGCCACTGATGTCCCTTCTGGTCCAGGATCTGATCCAGGAACCCATATTACATTTAGCTGTCAAATCACCTTATTTCCTCTCGTCTGGGACAGTTCCTTAGTCTCTCTGGTCTGGATATTTTGGAAGAGTGTGGGCCACTTATTTTGCAGAACTGTACTTCAGTATGAGTTTCTTTAATATTTTTCATGGTTAGGCTGAGGTTACAAATTTTTGCAGGAACTCTATGGAGCTTATGCTATTCCTACCTCAATGTGTACTAATAGGAAGTACCGTATGTCAGTATCCAGTGGTTTGTGACGTTAACTTTGGTCACTTGATTAAAGGACTGTCATGACTTTCAGCATCAGTAGATCAGTTCTTACCTACAAAGTTATTACTGTGATTGTTCTAAATGGTCTTTTTCTATTCACTGAAATTGTATCTGTCCCTTCTTCCCTCAGGGATGTGATTTTTAAATGGAGATGCTTTCCCCAAAGTGTGTATTGCTCAGTAATGAATAGAAATTGATGCAAGAAAAAAAGAGAAATTGATGCAAGAAAGAAATGAAGGAACCACTGTACAATGAAGGCTCTAACCAGTTCAGATGAATATTATGTCAGGAAAGGGGAGACCAAGGAAACTTTCCATAATGATTTACTTAGTTTTACAAATCGAAAGTATGATTTTTAAAATGGAGGCAGTAATTATGAAAGCAAGTTGGACTGAAAAAAGGAAGCTACAAAGGATTATTTTAGAGACAGATAAGGGAAAAGGGGATCTAAACTGAATATTAGATGACATTAAGAAAGTATAAATTCTCATAGTGTGTGCTAATTATTCTTAGAAAGCACACACAAAAATTGAAGTGTTTAAAATGAGATGTCAAAATACTGAAACTCACTTTCAAACAATTTAATGATGGAGGTAAGCAGATAGATGTATATATAAAAATAGATAAAGCAAATTGAAGTATAAAATATTGAAGCAAAGTTTCAAATAATTCAGTGAAATAAGATAGGTAGATGTAGATATATAAAATAGATAAACACAATGTCAATAATTGTCAAAACTAGCTGTTAAAAGTTCAATTTTTCTGATTGCTTGAATATTTCATTAAATATTACGGAAAAACTAATTCCTATAAGAAAAATAAGAGGAGGTATTTTTAAAGACTTTCCTAATGATAATTCCATACTAAGGGTCAAAAAGTGCAGATGTTAGAAATCTCCCTCCTTACCTGTTAGAGCAGGGAAGGGTGTCACAGCACATAGCAATTACGAAGATTTACACTATGAATGCGAATACGATTCACGTGACTGATGCAAGGAGGGGATTTAGTAGCGTCTATAGCTGGACATCTGGATACAGGGAAGGCTTCCAGCTTGGTATAATACAGGGGCGGCTCCATTCTGTTCTCCTCAGCTGTGCCGTCCTCTGGCCAGCTTCCTCCCCACACTGGCTTCCCTATTTCTATGTCTGAAGAGAAAGAACATCATTTCTGGTGGTCTTCTTCTGAGAGCATGATCCCTCCCCTCCATGGCTAAGTCACATGAGTCCCTGTGGCTGGAGCAGTGCCGCGTGGGGATCAGCTTTGTGGGGCTTCTGAGTCAGACATTATACCTATGGCGGGCAGAGAGGAAGTGGATTCTGGGTAGCAGTCGGTCACATTCATTGGACAGGGAAACATATCTTTCACAAACGGGAAGATAGCCCAGATGAAAAAGACAGGTTGCTACCATTTGGCAGAATAGATACAAATAAAAAATTAGGATTCTCAAAAAAAGAATGGGAGGAAGAGTACCTGACAAGAAACTTTTGATCTATCGTGAGAGCTTGTTTAAGTACATCAAAAGGAGAATTTCCGTTTCAGAATCAGTGATGCAGCAATGTAAGAGGCTTGCCAGTAATGAAACATCAAAAGCTAATAGAACAAAACGAATGGGCACCAATGAAATACACGACTTGCCTTGATCCTGTCTTGGAAATATATCCACCCCCAAGTGGTTTTCTCAAAGAACAAACCCAAAGCGCAAGACCAAGATTTTGTAGACTCACAGAACTCCCAGTGCCCATGCCTCAGAGTTGCCCACAGGATGTTCAGTGCCAGGGCAGTTTGGCCTGGAAAGGTCTGCAGTGAGGTGTATCTGTAATGCCGTGGAAGCTCCCCGGGGGACTCCGCTATGCAGCCTGGTTGAAAGTCACAGTTCTGAGATTTTAAGAACACTAAGCAGAGAGAGAGAGAGAGAGGGAGAGAGAGAGAAAGAGAGAGGCAGAGAGAGAGAGAGGCAGAGAGAGAAAGAAAGATAGAGGCAGAGAAACAGAGGGAGTTAGTTTACCAAACTGACAGAGCTCTGATGGGGCCAAGGGGTGAAACTGAAGGACCGTCAAAAGCAGGGTTCCCTTGGCCCCTGACCGCCGCGTGAGGGGCCGCTGGCTACTGGGAGATCATTGCTGGGAACCCGGGGAGCTAAAGAGCACCAGCCTATGGTCATAGTTTTAGGGAGTCCTCACTTAAAGGTGGGCCACTGAACCCTATGACCCAGTCCACCCCTCTGGCCTCGGTGATACATGAGCTTGATATTTTTTCAAATAGACATGTGAAAAAGGAGAAGTTAATGGAATAACATATGTAAATAAGATTTCATTCCATAACTAACAGCATTTTAAAGATGAACTCACCAAATAGTATTGGAAGTTTTATTAGGTAGAACTGGGGAAGAAGGTTTGTTTAAGCATGTTTAGAAAACTGAAAAGAAATTTAAAAAAATAAAAGAGTAAGAAAAAAGTGAATTGTTGACTGAATGCACTTTATGTCAAATATAAAACTCAGGCATCCGAACTGATCCAATTTAGGTTCTTTTGGCATATTATCAAAATGAACCCCTGAGCAGAGAAATCCCAGAGCCATGGGGCGATGGTAGTTGTAGGGTTTTCCTTTAAGTGAAGTGATCAAGAGAAAGAACACAAAAGCTGTCAGATAATGAGAGTGGGTATGTACCTTGTGAGGCCAGACCAGTGCTCCAGACATAAAAATATAATGTAAATACAGCCATGGGCCAAGGAGTCCCGAGTGACCACCCAAGAAAGAAGTGGGGTCTCCTTGGGGTCTGTGGCAGAAGCTGCCCTTCTGGGCTGCTGTTGTGTGCAAGGCCACAAGGAGGTGTGGAATGAGGAAGAAGATCGAGGGGCTGGACATGCAGCAAGGTGCCTGGTGATGTGTGTTTTATATATCCAAGGCCCTAAGAAAAGGAAGTGGGGAGGAGGAGGAAGGATCCAGACCAAAGGGGGACATTCATGCTGCTCCCCCTCTGTGACACTCAGGGTCGCCTCATCCTGGCCCCTCCAGGTCAACATGTGGAAACCAGAGAAGGTCAGTCACGCAGCTCCTGGAAAACAAAATCAAAGCACATCTCAGAATGCACAGACACAGGGACGCCAGCCGGGCAGTTTTCAATGATAAATTAGTTTCTAAGCTCGTAGAAATAGCAAGTCTTCTAAGGATAAGAACTCAGCATGTTCCTGAAAGCGAGGAGGCTGAGCCCCAGGCTCCCATTGGGAAGATGACTGCTCCCTCCCAGGGCTGCCCCAGGCAGAGAATCCCGGGCTGAAGAGGCCAGCAGGAGGTCAGAGCTCCCTGGAGGAGGGTTTGGAAAAAGGTGGGGAACTCGAAAGGACAGACAAAAACAAGTGTGAGTTATGGCCCACCTTGGACTAGGGCCAGCCCAGCCTGCTTCTTGTAGGACCATCTCCATCTCCCTCTTCATTGCTGAGCCCTGGTGGATCCTGAAGAGCAAGCCGCAGTAATCAACAAGATTTCCTCTTCTGGGATATTTGCTTTCTTACAGGCTGTCACAACTTAAGAGTCATTTCTCACTCGGCCACACACCAGCTCTATTTTCCTCCTTTTACATGTAAGAAAACTAAGGTTTAGAAAAAATAAGCTGTTTATTTGAGGTCATGTGGCCCCAGAGTGGCAGATTGGGGTTCAAGCTCAGATCTGTGTGAACCCAGAGTGACCTTTGTGATACTAGTCCTGGACTCTGCCGGGCCTTCAGGTGTTTTCTTTCTCCTCCTAGCAAGTGGGACCTAAAAGAAACTACCTCCAAGCCCGTCCAACTCCCTGAAAAGAGATCATGTTGGTGAACAGGACTGTCTTAGTGTGTTTCCTGTCATTATAACAGAATTGTGAGGTATAGTAATTTATAAAGAACAAAGGTTTATTTTGGACCACAGTTCTTGAGGCCAGGATGTCCAAGGTTATGGCACTGACATTCACTTGGCTACTGGTGAAAGCCTTGTAGACTCCTTGAGCAGAAATGGAATGAAAGCAGGTCAGTGGAGAAGAGAGGAAAGGAGGCCAAGTCCTTGTTATAGCTAAGCACTTTCTTTAACAAAGGTACTAACCCAGTCATCAGGCACCGCCCCCATGACCCAAACACCTTCCACCAGGTCCAGCCTCTCACACTGCTGTCTTGAGGGTTTAAGTTTCTAGGACCTAAGTATTTGGGGGACACACAGCAATGTCTAACTATTACTGTGCCTGGAATAGGATTTAGTGTCCCCCAAACCCCTCTATTGTAGCTTACAAACATGCATAGATTGTTCCATGCCCATAGCAGCTCTTCAAAATAGGTTTGATTTGCTCAGCATCGGGAGCAGGATGAGATCGGTGGGTGAAATTATTGGAAAAACAGTCAGCTATCCACTTCAAAGAGCAGAAATGTATGGACATAGGGAGAAAGGGGGTTCTGGCTCCCCAAGGCCCTGTAACCTGTTACACCTAATTCCTGAGCACTGGTAGATGGCCACAGCTCTCTTGCCTATGTGGGGCTCCATGGGCTGTTCTTTGTATATTTTTTATACAATTAAATTGGTTTCAAGCCAGTAGTACACACCTGTATCCCAGCACTTGGGAGGCTAAAGCAGATCACTGTGAGTTCAAGATTAGCGTGGGCTACAAAGTGAGTTCAAAGCCAGCCTGATCTGTATAATGAAGCCGTGTCTTAAAAAGGACAAAAAAGTTTTTAAAAATTTTTTTAAACTGGACTCAGGACTCCTCATTTACTCATAGCTATTGAACAAAACTGATGTTTATCTGTAAAATTTTGATAAAGCCTTGCTGTATCATTGCCCTGCTTTTAAAAGGTCACACCCTTTGAGAATGCAGAAACAGGAATGTGTGTGTCATCCTCCCAGCCCTCAGGAGACTGAGGCAGGAAGATTCTGAGTTAAAGGCCAGGCTGGGCTCTAGAGCAAGACTGAGAGAGAGAGAGAGAGAGAGAGAGAGAGAGAGAGAGAGAGAGAGAGAATGAGAATATGAATGTTTTGAAAGGGATACATGATAAATACTTGACTTTCCTAAAGAAATTTCTCTTGTGTGCTTACAGCCTGACCTATTATTCTGAATGCTAACTCTTAATATGCATTCATCAGGGATATTTTCTCTTTTGTCTTTAGTGGAAAAGGCTACTATCCGACCAGCTAAGAGCATGGACTCGCTCTGTTCAGTGCCTGTGGAAGGTGAGGCTTTATAGTTTCTGAACTGGGCACTACAACTGGGGGACTGGAGCTCACCCCACACTTGCTAGCTGCTCACCTGCAGTCAGGATCGCACCTGCTCATCCTGTCCCAGTTTCTCCCAGAGCGGGATCCCCCAGGCTGAGGGTTTCTCATAGCGCTTGCCATAACCTCGCCTACTGTGTCGCCAGCCAGTATCGTGAGCCGTCCTCTGTCACCAGGCTTCTAACCACAGCCAGGAACCAGGGTTTCTTTTCATTGAAACATGAGCCAGGCAAAGATCAGCTCCTGCAAACCAAACGCAGATGAAGCTTGGGCAGAAAGAGCCCAACACTGGTTTCTACCTCCTGGTCTCCCCCATTTAGCTCATAGATTGTATTTATCAGTAAACATGGGTTAGGCATCTACTGTGTGTCAGGTGCGTGTAGTTGGTGCCATTTTCTTCACTGACACTGGCGTGTACACAGCTGCACATGCTGCGGCTGCCCTTATCAAAACAATACCTCAGCACATTCATACCCAGGGCTCTAGCATTAAGCACTCACTTGTCTGCATCTCTCTCTTCTTGCAAAGCATTTGTTAAGCAACCAGCAAGTTACAAAGTAAAGGGCTTCCCTGAATGCAGACTGTTGTAACTCGCTTCCAAGGGCTGATTTAAAAAAAACTGCAATGACTGTTTAAATATTAAAAATCAATTAAAAATCACATTGTCACTAACCCCTTTCAGAACACTCCCACTTGCTTCAAACACACTCACCCCATCATCCTTCCTGTTTTCTGAGCAGTTCCGGAATTCCTTCTCCATGAGTGTCTTCCGTTACACTGTCCTGGCATGTAGGTGTCCTGAATCACATCAGAATGTTTACCTTCCTGGTCATTTTGACTTTAGCGAAAAGCCGGAAATCACATGGTGCCAGATCCAGTGAGCAAGGCGGGTAAAGATGCTCACTGTGCAGTGTTTTCCTGAGTCTGCCTTTCGGCTGGATGATACTTAGCCACTGTATTTCTGACCAAACATCATAAAGTTATTCATGAATAAGGACTTCCAGAACTCCATAAGGAAGTGACAAGAAAAATGGAACAGTGTGTTCAAAGCCAGGGAGAGTATTGGAGGGGGTGGCAAAGTGTCTTTTACTATAATAATTTTTTGCACATTTTAAACACTCACTGTATGTTTTGATCACTCCTTGTTATGGCTTTCTAATCCCTTAAATACATGACATTGTTCTCTTTGATAAGTGAGACAGCCTGAGACAATATAGGAAATATTTAGAACAACTTTTTAAAAAATTGTGCACTGCAAACATGTACTAATGAAAACAATTTGGTAAACATTTCTAAAGCTGTAAGATGCTCAGTGAGATCTTTTTAAGCTGTCTTCATACTTGCAGCATTTTTCTCACATTTATATTCCTCTGAGTGCTTCAGTTGTGAATTCTTTTAGGAAAGTCCTTACAGGATTTATAAATTGAGTTCTTACAGGGTTTCCACTATCTGGATGCTGTGTGGGTCACCTAGACTCTGTCTCAGCTTCCTTATATGTTAAAGGAGATAAAGAATTTTAACTATGATGTTAGGTAAGGTGCTATGTAAGATGCTGCCAGGTTCCTGGCAACTTACTTGGCATCCTTCAGCCTACCTGCTCCCATAGAGGCCACGCCCCTTTGCCTTCCCTTCTAACTCGGTCAAGGGCATCTTCCGCGCTACCGTGCTTTCTAACAGTCAATTCATATTCCTAGTTTCTCATTCTCTGAATCAACAGGATGAAGCACGAGAAAAGGAAGAAAAGGTCTAAGTGAGAATAACATTGCTTTCCTTGCTGGAAAATCAAACTCTGTCTGTATCTACCAGACAGAGAACACATAGCACCGTAGGTTTAAGGCTTAAATAAATAAACAAACAAGATTCTATTACCTTGCTCCTTTTGTCTTCTTTTTGAGCAAATAGCATTCTGTGATGTCCCATCTGTTTTTGTCACCTTCTACATTTAATGCTTGGTAGGTGCTCTCCCTGCAGTGGTTAAAACTGACACACAGCACAAAGGCAGTGGTTCTGCACCCATCAACCCAAAATTCTGTGCACATGAGAAGTGCTTTCTCCCTTGCCAACCCAGAGCTATGCTGCGGTCTTCATTAGGCTGCCCATGCGCTTAGGAGAGCACCACACCTTCCCAGCATGCAGATGCGCTATGCCTGCCCTTCCCGTGAGGCTTACACTGTGTGCGTGCCTCGGCTGCTGACCAAGTGCCTGTTTTTTTCACTAGGAAAAGAAACCAAAGGAAATTTCGGTCGAACGGTCGCTACTGGTGGATTTTTCATTCCAGCCACGAAATTGCACTCGACCAGCACTGGCAGCTCATGTGACCTCAGCAAGCAGGAGAGCGAATGGGGCCCGGAGGGAATGCCTGCAGGGGCCGAGGGGGGCTTTGACACGAGGGGTGACCGAAGCCAACTCCAGGGTGCTCAGATCCGGGCCCCACCTGAGCAGCTGAAGGTGTTCCGACCTATCGAGGACCCTGAAATCGAACAAACAGGCCCAAAGATGCTGGGGATGTTCTACACCTCCAACGAGAGCCCCAGTAAGTCCGTCTTCGGCAGCAGCCTCTTCCAGACGGAGCCCTCGCCTCATCACCAGCGCAAGGCACTCAATATCTCCGAGCCCTTTGCGGTGTCCGTGCCACTCCGAGTGTCCGCAGTCATCAGCACTAACAGCACCCCGTGCCGAACACCCCCCAAGGAGCTACAGTCCCTCTCCAGCCTAGAAGAGTCTTCTTTCCAGGGCTCAGAGAGTGGCAGCTGGCCCGAGGAGGAGAAGCCACAGGGAACTGAGACTTCTACAGGTAAAGTAAGGAAATGAGGTCTTTTTCTACAGCAGGAGATAAAAACCAGACTTGAACTTGCTGATAAGTAGAGTTTGCAAGGCCGTGTAGTGAAGTGGTTAGACTTGTGGGCTCTACAGCCAGACTGAGTACAAACTCAAGCTCTGCCCTTTAGCAAGTTAACATAACCACCCTGTGCCTCAGTTTCTTAACCTGTAAAATGGAACCTTTTCCATAAATTTGCTGATTATTAAGTTAGTTAATACATATAAAGCTCTCACAATGATACATGATATACAGTAAATGCTTAACAAATGTTATCTTATTTGCTCGTAAAAGGCAAAAAGAAAAGACTGCAAGTTGGAATGTAGAGCGACAGAGCTGGAACTAAAGGTTTAGCTCTTCCAGACTGACTTATTCTTCATCCATCCATCCCGCATTTCTAGCTCATAGCTGCAGAAGAGCATGGCAGCAATCCTAGGACTGCCACAGAGCGGCCGTCTTCTGCTTCCTGTATCATGCAGGAAAGACTCTGATTGGCTATGCTTGAGTCACATGTCCAACTTTGGCCCAACCCCTGTTGCCAGGCAGTTGAGGGGTAAGACGCCCCAGGCTTGAGTGTCTGGGCTGTGTCTGGAATAATGAAGGGCTCTTTGATCACTGCTCTTACCTGAGCATCAAAAATGAAAATAGGCAGAACCCCAGTGGAAAGGATGGCTGACAGTCAAATAAACACATGTCTTGCGGTGATCCATGAGGTTCTTGAAGTTCTTGAGGTGAAAGACCAGAAAAAGATGAGAAAATAAAGAAGAGACAGAACTGGGGTCAAGTGGAGCCCTCACTCTCCTGATGGGAGAGAAGCAACTGTTCAAGGCTGTAGCAGGTTTATTTATACGCTCAGGAGGAGGATGTCAATTTCAACCCCTCTGCCTAGCAACTTGTTTGCCTGGCTGGCCTGGGCCCCATGCCCTCTTGGAGCTGGGACAGCTTGTTTACATGGCTTGTTTTGGGCTCTTGTGTTTTCTGGGCTGGTCTGGCTTTAGCCCCACACCTGATCAATCTCCAGCTTCAATGGCTTCTACAGTGTCTTATTGTGAATATTTCTGTTTTTACTGGTATTAGCTAGTTTTCTTTGGACTTAAGTGCCTTTGTTACTTTGCTGTCAGACGTACACTAAGGCTTCTATGGGTATTACCCCTGATCTTCTCACAACAGTCCCATGAAGTGTTACTATCACCATTTACTTAGAATTGTGATTTGCCTAAAAAAGTCATAGAAAGGAAGTGATAAAAACAAGAATGCTAAGGCACATTTTTAAAAAACAAATCTACACTTACATGCACTCTGTCACACTGCCTGATGCGCTTACTACAGGTTGTAGAGTTAGAAAGATAGTTGGTACTCCGTCCCTTTTTCCCCTGGACCTCGGGGAACTGGGACTGCATGGATGTTCAGCACAGGATCAGACCGTGGAAATCACAAAGAGCCTCCTTCTGCTCTTTGGACTGAGGGAGGACTTAGGTATCTAGAGTATACTGAAAGGAGTATTCAGAAAAGACTGAAGGAGAGGCAGTCCTCCCAGGAGACTTTCAGAAAAGTTTACAACAGGTGACATTCAGGCTGCATATGCCTAGAGGGGCAGGGCTTTTCTATGCAGAGATGATGAGAAATGGCCCTTGGAGCCAACAGGCAGATGAACATTACAGAAATATACAGAGTTTTCACATCAGCTGAGCCACATCGGATCCCTTGAGCAGTGTGACAGTGGGTGACAACTGTCATTTCAGAGCCTTTTTCCCATCTGCAGAGGAGGAGAGGCTCCTATCCTAAAGCCCAGGGCAAGGTCTGAAGGAGAGAATGTCCATAAAATACCTGTCTGTGGTCTGGCTCACTGCAGATGCTCTGTGAATATTAACTGTCTCCTCCTCACCTTTGCCTTCATGATGGGGCCACCAGTGAGCTAAAACTCTGAGACATCAAGTGATGTCCTGTCTGGAAAATGGTCCTTGAGATGGTATGGGCAGAGCAGGACAAGGAACAGAGTCTTTGAAGGAAACTGGGCTTCTGAAGGCTTGGTTAGACTCTCCAAAACAGAAGGTGTTGAGCCCCAAAGAGTTTTGGAGACAGTCTCCCTTCTCTCTTTCTCCTTGAAGGAATATCAAATCTACATTAAATTTAGTCTGGAGAAGACACTAACGGGGACTCCTCCCTGCCTTCCTGCCTGTGGAGGCAGTAGGGTGGTAGGGGTGTACAGGCAGCCACACAGGTCTGGGCAGGAGGCTGAAGGGAGACCCTCTTGGTAGATGCCAAGACAACACGCCCTTGGCCTTCCCTCCGATGAGGTTAGGCCAACTTAGATTTCTTCTTCCCTCCATCAGCTTTCCAAATAGAGATCTTCATCTTCATTAATCAAATGTTTTTCTTCTTTATGGTGTAGCAGTGGGTAACAGAAAGAAGAAATGAAGACAATTTTCTAGATTATCCCATTACAATTGTTGCTATGAACAAAGGCATTTTCTTACTTTTGGGCCAAAATAAGTGAAATTTCAATGTGACCTGAAGGTTAGAAGTGATAAGTTTTGCAGTTTAACTGAGGTGTGGATGATCAGATTATTCATTGTTTCAAATTAAAGGTTTAATCAGTTTCATTCTAGTAACTGATCATCTTATTTTTAGCTGATTCAAAGCTATGCTCTGCTAACCTCTTCTGGGAGATAAAAGCATCACAAACTCCTTTTGCAAGGGATGGGAGAGATATGGGCTGTTTTAAAAGCTACAAGGACTCTGCCCCCTCTCCTAGAAATGCTCATTCTTGGAACATCAGAGTAACCACACAGCTTTAAGGGAACTTCACAAATGAAAATCTATAATTGCACTAGTAAATACTGGGAGTTGTTTCATTCTTCCACTGAAACAAACAAAACAAGTGCTTGTTTTCTGTATTGTTTCTGAGTGTATTGTTTTCTGAGCCGTGTTTCATGAATGGTCAGTGCAGTTCAGAAGCAGAACATAACTCATGACGGGGTGCTTTGAGCAATTTATTTCACTGCAGTGCTCTCCTTTGCCTTCCGCTTATTTTGATCCACCTTTTCCCATGGTGATTACATGGTGACTGATGCCTGTTTAGGTATTTCATAAATATTTGGCTATCCTGGTGTACGCCTACACATACCATCACATGTACCCAACACAGTCCTTGTCTGCATTGGTCCCCCTGGACTCCATACCCCAACATCCAAATTCCCAGCCAGTGGACAAGAGGAGGAAGCCACACAGCCTCCACTCAGAGATGTAACCCTGAAGCTGCATGCATCACTTCTGCACCACCGCATCAGCAACACTTGTCTTACACAGATGTACGCTCCTTCCAAAGGGGCTGAAAAAGTTGTCCCTAGCTGGACGGCCACATGCTCACCTAAACCTGGGCAGTGAGATAGGTTCCAGTTCTACCCAAAGAAGAGATTGGATCCTAAGGGACAGTGTGTGTCTACCTGCTCACTCCTCACTCGCCTCATGCTGGGAACCCTTTCGTGGGAACTTGGAATTACCCACCATAACTCTCAGTCAAGGGAAATTTGCTGGAGTACTAGGTCCTTAACGCCACGTGTATCCCCAAAGAATGGGTTCCACTCCTACCACAGGGAAGACCAGAGCAAAGGGGCGCAAGACCTCACAGAGCAAAGGAGCAGACACACAGCCTGACCAGAGAGAAGAGGGCCTTGCATGCCCTGATGGAAGCTGGCAGCCAGGGTGAGACCAGCGAGCCCACCCTTAGGGCAGGCCATCTTCCTCCCAATGAGCAGAAGACCTGAACACTACCGGAGTGCTACAAAATGAGTTACTGGCAAGAAGTAGACCTAAGCAGAAAGCTCAAAATGTCTTTTAAAAATTACTGGCCCATTTGACCCTTCACCCAGAAGTCTCACTTCCAAGAACTTACCCTAAATAAATAGCTGCACAACCCCAGAATGATATACACACAAGATAGTGTTGCTCGTGACAGTAGCAAAAGGCCAGAAAAAGCCCCAAAAGCCGTGGTGGGCAGTGCCTGCCGGCCTGCCTTCCCACGGCTGTGCTGCTTGCAGGGGCCAGGTCACTGCTCACAAAGGAAGAACGAAGGTGTTTTCCCTCAGGTGTCTACTGTGCATTGCTAGTTTTCTGTGTGAGGACTTACCTTGAAGGCAGAAGTTACTTAGCCAGCCCTTGCTTGGGTTTCCTCAGAGTACAGAAAATCAAGTGGTCACTCTCAACCAACATGAGCTAGGAATCAGTGGATAGATGACCCCGTCTCAGGTTCTTCAGGGGGGTGGCTGTGGGACATGGCCACACAGGGTTACCAGAGAGTCACAGAGGCTTGCAGTGGTCAGCAGCTCAGTGTACTTTGCATGACTTCCATTACACCTCTGTCTCCACTCCTCACTCCTCCCGCGAGGCACCTCCTTCCAAAGAAGCTGCCTGCTGCCCCAATCTTGTCTCAGGGTCTGCTTTGGGGGGCGCCTCACTCTAAAGAATAACCAGTCTCCCTTTAGACTAATACGCACGGCCTTCAATATACATTCACTGAAAAAATGCAAACTGAAGAGTGGCATGTATTATGCTATATTTTCTGTAGTAAAGTAGGAAATACAACATTACAAATGCCTGTAAATATGCAAAAATAAATGCACTTAAAAAACTAATGAAAGTGATCATGAAGTGAAGATAGTGAGAATGTGGAACAGGATAGAAGCAACAAGAATGAAAGAAAACTTAAAGAATGCCTTTTTATGTAGTTTTAACTTTTGAACTCTAAATGTTTTACACATTTGGAGATTAAATTAGCCAGGCTTGGTGGCACAAACCTGTAATCCCAGCTACTCAGGAGACTGAGGCAGGAGGATCACAGGCTCAAAGCCGTCATGGGCAAGACCCTGTGTTGATATAAAAAATAAGGATGTAGCTTAGTGAGCAGGGTGCTTGTCTAACACACACACAGCCCTGGGTTCACTCCTCATAACCACACAAAAAGGGTTTTTTGGAAAATAGACCTACTGAGTAATGAGTTTTTAAAAATGGTATTAGGGGGCTGGGGATTTAGCTCAGCGGCATAAGTGCCTGCCTTGCAAGCAGACAGTCATGAGTTTGATCCCTGGTACCGATAAAAAGGAAAAAGACAAAAATAAATAAATAAAAATAAAAATGGTATTACAGTTAAGTCCAAAGCATTGTTCATTCACACATCAAGATGCTGTCACTAGGGCTGACTGAGCTGCAGCAGGCGGGCATCGTGGTGAACACCCAGAAGCTAAGTTGCCAGATTAATAATGGCAGAAGGCGAGTTTGTTCTTAGCCCGCTGACTTTTCTGAGCTTGCAGAGTATGTCAAACTCTGAGCTGTGTGCTTCACATTTGTTGTCTACTTCATCCTCGTCTGGCCCTGCGTCTGTCTTAATGTGATAAGATTCATTGAGAAACTAGAATTTGAAAGGAAGCTTACTTAATGCTCTTTTAAATAATGGCATTTGTTGAGGACCTGTTATGGGCTAAGTATTGCCTGGACATTTTCTTAGTCTTTACTCTGCAGCCTTTTCTTGTACAAGGCAGAAGTGGATGGATCTGAAGTCTGCCTCCTTCCTCCTGTGTCAGTAGGTGTTTAAGACTGTGGTCACTTCCGCTGTGTCTGAATTGACTGTTGATGACCCTGAGAAGCTGTCAACCATACGATCTCTCTGTAGCTTGGCACAAATAGCAGATTTTTGTGGTCTTGGGCACCAAGCTTGACTTCTCAGGGACAGGGTATTTATTTGTGCAGTGAAAGGCTGGGCAGAGGCAGCATTTCCTAATTTTGACACTATTGACATTTTGGGTTGGATAATTTTTGCTGGCAGTGGGAGTAGGGCGGTCGTTGGAGGATATTTATTTAGCAGCATCCTTGGCTTCTAAATTATAGATGTCATTAGTGGTCCTCACCTTGTAACAACCAAAAATAGCTCCAGACACTGCCATTGTTCCCTGGAGAGGGAGAGAAGAGTAAAATGGCTGTGGGTTGAGAATTGTTGGACTAGATGATCTTTCAGCTCACTCCTTCTTTGATAGTCTGGGACTCCACGACCTAAGACCAAGACATTGTGGGGAGAAGAGGGTGAAGACCATGAGAGGCAGTGAGCTGGGAGATGCCTCGTCCTTGTGAGGCAAGGCCAAGAGACAGGGTGGGGACTGCAATGGGAACAACCTGTTTGAAAGTGAAGTCCTTTAACTTGAACTGACCACCACCATCTCCCTTGCAGCCCCTGTTGCTAAGAATGCCATTCCCGAGGATGCCTCACTCCAACCTGATGGCCAGGCGCTGGCAAGATGCAGCCAAAGTCTTTCCCTGGAGCCGGCTGCCCAACTGGAGGAGAAGAAAACCTCAGAACCTGCCATGGCTTCTCTACATTCAGGAGAATCAGAAAAGAGACCAAAACAGGAGAAGGTGGAGGAGAAGAGCCAAGAGGCCAGTCCAGTGGGAGCCGCTGCTCCCCTGCAGAGCTCCGGGGCTGAAGCTGAAGCTGGATTTTTCCATGAGATGGTAAGGCAGACTCTGTGCTCCATCGAGTGTAGCATTCTTTTGCCTGGGAGATCTGGGTCCAATTTAAACTAGATTTAAAAGAAGTGGTTTCTGCCAAAAGAAACCACTTCTTTAAGACCTAAAATTTCCTTTTTTTGCTTGGGTTTTCAGGAGCCCAGTGATAGAAAGGAACCATTAAGCTCAGACCCCTTAGGACAGATTCAACTGTTTTGGTATTCAATGCCAGTAGCCGCACAAAACTTGTGAAATAGCCTGGGCCTAACATGACCATCATGACATCTTGCCCTCTTCTTCCAGACATCCTGGATGGCTGGTTGTTTAGGCTTCTTTCTAAAGTCTGGGAGATTTCCAGAGTTCACTCCTTCCTCCTGTGGCTCCTGGTGATTTTAAAAGACCATGCCAGAGCTGGTGGAACCTTGTCTTCTTTAGAGCTAGAATTCTCCAAAAAGGATTTTATGAGCGGTTTTTACATAAGAAGGTGTGGGGAGGTTTCCTGGGGACACCTAGGGAGGAGTCCTCTACTTGGAAGGTGGTTCCATAAGCAAGAGTATGCCAAAGGGGAAAGGGAAGCTCATCGCTTTAAAACTTGCTTGAAGCACATGTATTATAGAAGCACTTGCTGGGAATTAGGGCAGAGCTGGGGCCCCCTGGTGGCTGAGAGGACTGAAGTTGAGTTCCTGTAAGACGTGGTTGCATTTGTAAAAAAGAAGGACGCAGAGATTTTTGTGGGAACTGCATTTATGGAGAAGACCAATGTATGAGTGGTATTGTTCTGAGAAACAGATGTACTTAGTGCTGGAAGAACCAGGCTGGGCTCAGAGGACAAGTAAAGGCATCCATTCCTTCATTTAAAACATGTGTTAAGTCAGTGTGGTGGCATATGCCTCTAGTCCCAGCTCTTAGGAGGCTGGAATAGGAGGATTGCGAGTTCACGGCCACCCTGGGCTACATAGCAAGACCCTGCCTCAACAAACAACAACAACAACAAAATGGATCAAATACCCACTTTGTGCCACTCTGTTGAGCACTAGATCAGTGTAGTGGACAAAATTGTCACCATCCCTAGTTCCTTAGGGTTGACAGCCTCGTTGGGAAAGGTCATTGAGGAAGTACTCTCCATGGTGAAATGGAAATACGGAACGTGGTGAGCATACATGACAGGAAGACCTCGCGTAATCAGAGGGAGGAAGAGTGTCACAAGGGCCGGGATTAAGCTTGAGTGACAATTTGATTGTAAAGCATACTACTAAGTATGTCTAGGTGGCCCCAGGGGGCGACCTTAGGAACTCCATCTGGTCCCTAGCCTCTTTCTTCTGTCTCTGGCTCTTTCTTTTCTCTTTGCTTCCTGGCCGGCAAGAGGTAAGCAGCTGCTCTTCCACCATCAATTCCCACGTAGTGCCAGCCAACTGTTACCCGAAACCTTTAAACTGGCAGCAAAATTAAATTTCCTCTATTTTGTGCATGTCAGGTATTTAGTTCCAGTAACAAAAAATGATTAAATAAGTGGACTCCTCTGAAGAATGGATACTTAGGTTGATAACTTGCTGGAAAAAAGGAGGGATTGGGGTGTATTTCCAGGCAGAAAGAACAAGATGTGCCATGAGTCTGAGGCAAGAAAGAGCCTGAAATATTCATGGATGGGAACGGAGCCAGGAGACCCACTGGAAGAAGTGTGGCTCCAGTAGAAGCAGAAGTCACATTGGGCAGGACTGCATGGGAGGGGCTGGGGTTCCAACAAAGGTGGTGGAAAAGCCTATGACAGAGTCAGAATTTTGTCCTTAAAGGGCCCCCGTATTCTGTGAGGGAAAATAGCTCGAAGAAAGGAGAGAGAGAGAGAGAGAGAGAGAGAGAGAGAGAGAGAGAGAGAGAGCGAGCCAGTTAGAGGCTGCCATGTGGCAAACCGAGTGAGAGAAGGTAGGTGGTAGCCTAGACTAGGGCGAGGGCCATGGAGGTGGAAGTGGGGTTCAAGACCTGGTTAAGGAGATAAAATGAAGGGGACTTTGTGAAGGATAGGATGTGGAGTAAGGATGAAGGGACAAAGACAGAATTCTAAATCTTTGGGCTGAGAGTTTAGCTCGGTGGCGTAAGCGCCTGCCTGGCAAGGGCAAGGTCATGAGTTCAATCCCCAGTACCAAAAAAGAAAATCTAGATCTTTGATCTAGCCAAATTTCTATTGTGATCCATATACGGAGCTGTTAGACTGCAGAATGGAGGGGAGTTTGGAGGTCATTAATGCATTTAAATTCATTGATTTCTCAGTAAGGGATAATTAATGTAGATGCTAAAGAAAAGAGATGAGAAAAAAATCTTGCCTAGTCTAGCAGGCAAAATAGAACTGTACACAAGTAATGTAGTACAGCAGAATCAGACCATGTTTGAGTAATCTAGGATATTTGTCTGAAACAAGTAACTTTAGTAAACATACACCCATTTCAGACTCTTTATTGAACAGCTAGTCACGGTCTGCCAGACACTATTTGGCCTCGAGGGATTAAAGGGGAATCACAGGAAACCTTGATCTCTAGGAGCCCCTGCTCCATTGGGAGTAAGGTAAACTTGAGAGTAACTGGCGTGCGAAGCAGCGTGTGATTAGAGGCAGGACAGAAATGAGGAGAGAGATCGGACTTCTCAGAGGGAGATGCTCCCCTGAGCTGCCTCCTTCATGAGGCAGAATTAGGCCTGCCACAAAGTGTGAAAGAAAGCAAAATTTGATTTCCTGGCCTGAGCCAGGCCTCTCTTCCTCCTTTTCCTCCCTGTAACTTTAGCCTTTGTGGAGGGAAATGGAGTTGCTGAGGACGACAAGAGAGACAGAGACAGCAAACAAGCTGATGCAGGAGACACTTCCACAGCCACAGAAGGAACTCCCCACAAAGCCCAGTCAGATAAACAGTGGGTATCCCTGGGTGGTAGGAATACAGGAGTTTTATATTTGCTTTTATTCTGTGTTTAAGAACTCCCCATGTATGATAGATTTTCATCACTGTGACCAAAAACAAGAGCAAAGATTTATTTCGACTCACAGATTCAGAGGCTTTAGTCCAACGTCACATGGCTTTGCTGCCTCTTGGCCTGGGGTAAGGCAGAAGCATCGTGGTAGAAGAGTAGGGTGGAGGGGAGCTGCTCACCTCACGACAGCCGGAGAACAGAGAATGAGGGCCCGAGCCAGAGAGGAGAGGACCAAGCACAAGACACAGTCCACAAGGTCATACTCCTATGACATCCATCCTCCCTTCAGCAAGGCCCCTGCCCTGTCTTCATGGCCTCCTACTGAAAGCCATCAGCTATAAACCCACCAGTAGATTAACCTACACAGGGCGTGGAACCCTCAGAGTCCAGTCACTCCCCCAAGCCCATCCCGGGAGCACATGAGCTTTTAGGGGACACCTTATATCCCACCGTGACACATACAGAATATACATTTCTTTATTTACTTGGGAAGCAAGAGTTAGGGTGAGAGTTAACATTTTTGTTCCACTAGAACTTCACTCTTGTGAGCTTTCTCGTAAACCTGGGGTTAAATAAAATCACGCTTTTTGTTTCCCCAACAAGGCAACATTGCACAGAGAGTAAATGTTTGTGTTCTGATGTAGACAAGGCTGGATTTCAATCCTGGTTTCCTGCTGTATGATTCAGTTAAATCGTTATCTAATCGGTAAAACAGTAATAGTGTTTATCTCCTAGGGTGTTGCAAAAATCAAAACTAGACAAAGAATTGGATATTCACAAGTGTCAGTGACAGTGCCTCATTTCTTAGTGGCCCCTTCACTCTACCTGGCAACAGAGCAAATGTTGGTGTCTAGAATCTTGGTTCTAAGGTAATCAGTTTCATGCTGTTTTTCAGGATGACGACGATCTGACCAACCCCCTTTTCTGGCCCGAGATTCAACAGGAACTGAAAATCATCGAATCTGAAGAGGAGCTCTCCCTGTCACAACCCCCTGCTCAGCAGATCAGCCCAGTTCAGGCAGTTCTTGAGCCAAGCCCAGTGGCCTTTTCTTCCCCAGAGGCTCCTGGGACCTTGTCTTGTGGCTCTACCCCCAGTCCAGTCTCTGCCCCTCTGGTGGCATGGACTAGGGATGACACACAGGGAGTGACCACAGCAGCCAGCAAGGAGAAACTGGAGCCAACCAGCAGTCTCCATAAATACAAGCATGAACAGGGCCTGTACCCAGACCACACTGGTCCGGCTCATTTGGATGTAGTTCCCCTTGAGGTGTCTCCAGAGGCTAAAACAGATGTTGCTGGCCTAGGGAATCTCTCTCCCCTGCTCCCGCCTGCTTCTCCCCCTCCGACCTCTTTGGAGGAGGCGCCTCGAATCCTGCAGTCAAGGGGTAGCCCTGAGAGAGAAGATCCGTGCATGAATTTGAGCATCAGTCTCTATGTAGAGCAACTGAAGTGCACAGACAGCCCTGGGATCTCCAGCACCTTTCAGGGAGATGAGGCAGCTCAGAAGCACAGGGAAGAGAGAGATTCAAAGAGTGCTGCTCCGGAGGCCAAAGGCCCTGGCGTCTCAGGCCCAAAGGAGGGTGAGATTTCCCCAGCGGGAGAGGGAGACGGAGCCCATTCAGTACAGGAGCCTTCAGACTGTGATGAAGATGACACTGTGACCGACGCTGTTCAGCACGGCCTGGAGATGGTGGAGCCCTGGGAGGAGCCCCAGTGGGTAACCAGTCCTCTTCACTCTCCCACCCTGAAGGAAGTGCAGGAGTCCCGGGTGCAGAACCCCCAGAGCCACAGGCTGGAGCGGAGGCTGACCCCCAGGCCCGGCCTTCACCAGAGCCACTCTCTGGACAGCAAAAGCTCTATTTCCACTTGCCAGTGGCCTCTCCACACTCCCTCCTCTAGTAGCTGTGCCAGTCTTGAAACAAAGAAGAATCTGGACTCTCTGCAGCCTCTGGTGGCCAGGAAAGAGACAGCTGGATGGGATGAGAAAGCCCCAAAGCCCTTCAGAGAGTTCTCGCAAGGGGCAGAGGCTCTTCCCAGCCAGAAAGGACCAACTGATGTGCAAGCCAACCCAGTAGAAACTAGCCCAGTCAGCCTGGCAGAGAGAAGGGGGCTGGGGCCACAGCTGGAGTACAGCAGCTCAGACATCAAGCAAAGCAACGTTCCCGAGCTAGACAGCAGCAGGGAGAGTTCCCCTACTGTTCAGGGCAGCCCCCCACCAGCAGCGCTTCCCCCTGAGTTACAGCAGAAGAGCACTGAGTGTGGGCCCTCAAAAGGGAAAAACAGGCCTTCTTCTCTCAACCTGGACTCTGCTGTTCCCATCGCTGATCTCTTCCGGCTTGGGAATGGGACCTCATTTAGCTCACCTGGAATGCAGCTCTTGGAGCCGGAAGACCCCAAGCTCACCTGGATGACCTCGTCCCACTGTAAAGCAGACCCCTGGGGGGTTTGCTCCCAGGACTCCCAGGACCTGGACGTTATTGCTCATGCTGCGACTGGCCGCCGCCGTAACTCGGCTCCTGTGAGTGTGTCAGCAGTGAGAACCTCCTTTATGATCAAAATGTGTCAGGCCAAGGCAGTCCCAGTCATCACACCCAAGATTCAATACACGCAGATCCCCCAGCCCCTACCCTCTCAGAGCTCAGAGGAGAGAGGGGCTCAGCCTCTGGAGGGGAGCCAGGAACCCCCCAGCTTGGCTAGTGGAGCGTCTCAGAAACCTGCCAAAGATGAATGTCCCTCTCCCCTAGAAAGCCCCAGGGAAGGGAAACCAAAGCAAGACTCAGGAGTCATGAGGTCCTCTCAGTTGGACCTCACTGCCCCCTGCATGTGTGAGGGACCCATCCTTCCTCCAGAACCAGGCTCACCTGACCTGGCTTCCACCCAGGATGTGACAGTGCATTGCGGAAAGTGCACATCAGAGACAGAGCCATCAGGGGATAACCTGCTTTCTTCAAAAGCGGAGCGGCCATCTGGAGGTTCTAAGCCTTTCCCCAGGGCGAGGCCAGGAAGACCTCAGAGCCTCATCTTGTTCAGTCCTCCTTTCCCCATCATGGACCACCTGCCCCCTTCATCCACAGTGACAGATTCCAAGGTCCTGCTGTCCCCCATCAGAAGTCCCACTCAGACAGTTTCCCCTGGCCTTCTCTGTGGAGAGCTGGCAGAAAACACATGGGTCACACCAGAAGGGGTTACACTTAGGAATAAAATGACCATCCCTAAGAATGGCCAAAGACTAGAGACCTCAACCAGCTGTTTTTACCAGCCTCAACGAAGATCCGTGATTCTCGATGGAAGAAGCGGAAGGCAAATAGAATGACAGCAGTCCCCTGCTGGTGTCTGCAAAGCCGCCGTGATTTACCTGGACCTCCTCGCAGGCCCAGCTTGTCACTTGCCAGGCATGAGTTGTCTAAATGTGGGCTTATTTTGGCCTCTGGTTTCTTTTTATTCGACCTTTGGACCATTCATTCATATTGCATCTGCTAGAGGAGTAGTCAAGCAAAGACCAAAACATGACATTTAGAGAAGTCTAAGCAAATGGGAAAGGTTAGGGCAGGGAGGGGAACAGAGTGTGTGTCTCAAGTGAGCTGTTTCCCCCGTTACCATCCTGTTGCTGTTGGGAGCTGGCAATGATAGTGTCCTTTGAAGGAAAGCTGTGTCAGAAAAAGCTGTGATTAGGATTTGAAAGCCTCCTGTTTTCTTCGTGCTTTGTAACACTGTAAAGCATGTGTCCTTTAAATCGACTTTTAATAAGCTATGTACTACCTAAAATAGAAGCAGATTCGAAAATGCAAGTGGATGTGCACTTAGGTATCCCATGAGGCGAGCTCACCTGTGTTCTACCCTGGGGTCTCTGCAGGCTTGCCCAGCATGACCCTAGACAGCAGCATAGAAAGTCAGAGTCCACTCGAGCAAGCCCTGACACCGGCACGATCCGTGAAGACTTGCTCACTCTGACTGTCACTCACTTGAGACTCCACCTGCCACTGCACTGAACTGAGATTTATAAATCTTGGATCTGAGCAGAGAGGGGTGGAAGCTGAGGATTACTTTAGTGCAGTTTTGGGAGTAGCAAGGAGGAGGTTTCTTCTTAACAAGATCAGAGCCCAGGAACGGTGTCCTCAGAGAAAACCTTCACACAAGGGCATGAGTACACTGCATACTTACTATGTTCAAATTAGGGGGTATTAGCAGAAAACACCTCTAGTTCAGCTTCATTCCTCTTCCACCTTAGCTGCAGCTGCACAGGAAGAGCCAGGGAGCCCAGCAGAGTAAGGATCACCACCCTCCCAGGGAGCCGCCCTCCTTGGAGACAGTGCATTTCATCTTAGCCAGTGGGGTCCTTCCTTTCTCCAGAGCAAATTTAAGGCTCCGCTGTCCCTTCTGCAATTCCCCTCATCTACCACCCACCCCGGGTGCTCACATGCACTCCTCTTCTCTGTCAGCATACAAGCAGAAGCAATAAACCAGTCTCATTTCTTTCAGTCATTTACAACTTGCTGTTTTCTCTCCTCATTAGTTAGACAGAAGACTAACATACCTGCTGGCAGATTTTTGGTGCTGTCCCCAAAAAAGGCTTCACAGGGCAACTCATCTCAGGTCCAAGCCCACCAAACTCTGTTTGCAAGTTCAGTCATTGACTCTAGGAGTCAGCAGTACCACAGCAGGGCAGACCTCAAAACCAGGGCCGTGCTGGGTTGGGCAGGGGCTGAGCCGAAGTCGTCTCCTCTAGTCAGAGGCTGGAAGCTGATGCTCTCTGTAGATCTCTTTCTCTGTCCTCTCACCTTTCTTCCCCACCCACTTCTCTGTCCCTCCGCCTCTGATCTTCTGTCTGATGATAAAAAGCCTTACAGTCTTGAGATCTTTTCCTCTACTTATGAAGCCTGCAGCTGTGGCAGGGGTAGTTGGCAGCCAGCCTGGGAAATCTGCCGTGGAGAGCAGTTAAGAGGTGCCTGATGAGTACTGTGGCTTTCTCACTGGGCGAATGACAGCCCAGTGACAACAGCCACAGGCGACCAGCCCATGAGATGAACCCTAATATGAAACATTTTCCTTAGGCAAACCACGTGAAGAAATGAACAGTGAGAGATGAGAAAGGCCACGGTCAGAGATTTCAAAAACACATTCCTGCCCCACCAGCAATGTAGCAGAGAGGTTTTATGTCAATCTTTGTGCGCTGGTGGCATATATGCTTAGATAATCAGGAGCATGTTCCAGTTATAATGTGAGATATGGAAAGAACTGCACTTTGTCAACCATCAAGACTCTGAGCCAAGATATGGAATATTTTTTAAAAACTACTCTATGAATATTTTACATTTTTGTTTGTAATACTTATAGGATATATTTTTATCTGGGAATAGACTGAGAAGCCACCTTAAACATACTTAACGTGTGAGGAGGTGGCATGGCTTATAATCCCAGCACTCAGGAGGCTGAGGCAGGAGAATTGCCATAAGTTTAAGACCAGCCTGAACTACATAGGGAGAGGAGACTGTCTCAAAAACAACAAAACCACACTAGCAAACGACTTCGGTTCTAATGGTTGAGGTGCCTGTGTAGATTTGTAGGATGGGTCTGGAGACCCATACCTTCCATTTATGGCCTCCCCTTCGGTGGGTGCACAGGTCTGTGATACTGTCATGTGGCCCAGGGACAGCTGTCTGGAGATAGTCCTTGTTCCAGGCTTTCCAAGCCCTCAACTCTAGAAGCACTGGGAAGCCAACTCACCTTGCTGTCTTGCTGCTGAGTGTGGCCCTTTCCTTTGACAACGTCACAGCCTGGTCAACTGTCAACTGTCACACACATGTTCACAAACTTCCTGGGGGCTGGGCTAGCCTGGTGCTGATGAAATTCCATTCCATTCCATGGCAAAGGAAACTTGTTTTTCTCCTAATTCGTCCTTCCATACCTTGGGATTAGCTGTTTGGCCACGCACTTGGGACTCTGGACAGTGAGGCCCCTGAGAAGGGGCGGATGGGAACCAGAGTGCTTGCTTCCTGGTAGGGCCACTGGCTGCAGGAGGACCTGCCTGACACTATGAGGACTGCAGAATCAAGCTTTCCCACCACGGGGCCTCAGAATGGGGGCCACTATCATGAAATGTCAAAGTAAAATGTATACATAGGCTAATGTTGTCTTTCAGTTTTTACAGTTGCTTAAGAAGATACTAACATATATTTATTGGTAAAATGGCCCAGGCCAACTTTTTTCTTCTTATGAAAATGGATGAATAGAGGTTATTTGGAGTTTTTTCTCTGCTTCACTTGTGAGCCTAATTTTAGCCCTAAAATTTGAAATATTGGCCAAGTCAAAATTCTGGAGTTTAGGGACATTAAAAACGTAAAAATCACGCTGGGCTTGGTGGCTCACACCTGTAATTCCAGCACTTGGGAGGCTGAGGCAGGAGGATTATTATAAGTTCGAGACCAACCTGGGTTACAAAGTGTGCTTAAGGCCAGCCTGAACTGCACAATGAGACCCTGTCTCAAAAAAAAAAAAAAAAAAAAAAAAAAAAAAAATCATTCTCAAGGATTTATCAAAGTTTAGTAACAAAGTTTAGTTACCTTAGTACTCGTAAATTTTTGAACAGTCTAATGAAAAAAGGAACGGGATAAGAACAAGTGAGACAGTCCATAAACAACTGGGAGCAAGGCTGAGAACGATTAATTTCCAAATGAAGGAAAACGGAGAAAAAATGTAGTAACTAGCATCTTTTTGTTGTGCCTAAATTGCCCAAACTGGGCTTCAATTTACAATCCTCCTGCCTCAGCTTCCCAGGCATTGGGATTACATATACTACCTTGCTAGCCCCTGGCACCTTTCAAAACAATTGTTAACACTATTCAAGTGACCTGCTGTTCTTAAATAATCAAATCAATCACAATTGCAAATCCAACTGACATACCAATGAGACATTTGGGTGTTGAAAAGTTTGTTTTGATTTTAAAAATTATGAGTGGTGAGCAACTGAGCATAAGTAGTTCCAGGTTTTGTGCAGACCTGATTGGTTTGTTAAGTGTTGGGTCTCTGCAAATGAACCATGTGGGATCAGCCGTCCACACTGGAATTGAGAGGGATTTGAGAGACTTTCGTCATTACAGTGTGAGTTAATTTGCCAACCAATGAAATCATAGCCTGAACTGTTCACACAGCGTTTAGCACACGATGGCAGCTGATTCCAACTGGGAAAGGGAACTCATTTGTCTGCCAGGCATCATGTTCCTGTCTCAAGGGTTCCTGATAACAGAAGAGTCCTTGGTCTGGGACTGGAATGGCAGGTCACAGTAGGTCCAGTTCCCACCAGCATGGATTGGGCCCACATTCCATCACTGCCTGTCTTGTCTGATCACAGCATGAGCCTTGGCGCTGAAGTGCTGCTAGGAATATGACTTTAGATACTTCTAGTAGAAAGGTTCTTCAGCAACATTCTTCCTAGCAAAATAAGGCCAGAAGAGGCAATCATCTTTCCAGGGAGGGAAGATGCTAGATGGGTAACTGACTGTCTAGGTGGATCATATAAAACCGGGGCCACAGACAGACTGACACACAATAGTTTGTGCAGCGACCTGAGGAACATGGGCAATGCAGGGAACTACTCCGATGGTGAAGGGCAGCGGAGTTAACTGTAAAAAGCCCTGGAGTCCATGGCTCTGTGTTTTACTGGATGCATTGCAAAGCTCTGCATTAACTTAACCCTTTTGTTTTCTGGCTTATCATTCTGCAAAGTAAAGCACTTTTTTCAAAAGAGTCTTATTAGAAAGCCACATGATTGTAGCTGTTTTTTAAGCTCTACAAATGTTTCCAAAGATATAATCAAAATGTTTTTCTACTCATTAAAAAGTATAAATATTAAACCTATCTATAGAAACATTTATGTGTAATTAAAAGATTATGCTTTATAAATGTACTCTAATAAATGATATGAAATATAATGCTTATGGTGTATGTAAGTGCTACAGGATAAGGGGCCACCAAAATCAATACTCAGAAAAGTAAATTATGTACCTGACTCATTTTACTTTGTTCTGATTGATGTCATTTTTGGTTACTTCATGTCTGATCTCCTTGCAAAAGTTCTGGTGATTGCTTCAGTAAATTTTCTTCTTGTTATTTTACATCTTACTAATTGTGAAATATTGACACCCTCTCCATCTTATTGTCACAACCACAATCGTGTCATCCAAGACACCCTGCATACATTGGTGACACTGTAATGGAAAATGGAAGAAAAAAGCCACTGCTTCCCAAAACTCCACAATTTAAGGAGCCACTGAGTCCACCACGCTGATGGCACTCAGTTTGCCTAGTAATGAAGTTGGCAGAGGACTGTTCCTTTGTTTGAGCGATTATGTTAACGACGCTGGGGACGCATACATTTGTCATCCTGACATTTGTTATTAAAAAAATAACAAAGGTGGCATTTAGGGCTCAGGGTGGATAATCATACAACCTGGTTTCTAAACCAAAAATTGTTGCCATTTCCTGGATTTCAGGCTCATGTCAGCATTTGGGAGTCAGAGGCAGGAGGATCACCACAAGTTGGAGGCCAGCCTGGGTGACATAGAGTTCAAGCCAGCCTGAACTACACAGTGAGACCCTGTATCTAGAAAAAAGAAAAACTTGCGAATGCCTTTCTTTTCCTGCATAAAAAGGCTGCATTCTCCCACAAAACTCACTTTTACAAAGATCTGGAAGATAGTCTCGCGTTTTCTCATATTGGCATCTGCTCATTACTTTTTCCTATTTCATCAAAAAAATCTGATACTAAAATGTATGGGTCCAGTCTTTACTGATAAAGATAACTGATCTGATAAAGTATCCAGGGGTCACAGCTTAAGAACTTACGGCCTTCAAGATAATAAAAATCCAAACTGTAGCGAGCTGTGACACTGCATGTCACACCGCATGCTAGTTATTTGAGAGGCTAAGGCAAAAGAATCACTAATTTGAGGCTATCCTGAGAAATTTAGTGAGACTGTGTCTCAAAATAAGGGCAGGGGATGTGTTTCAGGGATAGAGTAATACCTTCCTAGCATACACAAGGACCTAAATTTGACTCCGTATTAAGAAAAAAAAATCCAGAGTGGTTAATGTGCAATTGAAGTTCTGTAATCCACTCCTCCGGCATTGTGAACCTAGTGTAAGTCCGTATCTTAGATCCACTTCATGGATCCTCATCTCTATGGTAAACTAATGTTTCTCATCTGCGGTCTTGAAACCCTCCTGACAAGGCAGTAATGACCACTCCCTTCCCTGTGTCACCACTGTACCTCCACACATTCCCGTTACTGAACACTGTATGACAACTACTTACTTGTCCACCTTCTGCTAATGAACTCTGAACATCACTACCTCCGACATCTAGCAGCATTCCCCACGTGAAAACCCAGTCTGCGGAAATGGGGGAGGCAGCAGTGGTGGGAGTGATGAGGGAGGGAGGGAAAAGGGTTTAAGAGTGTAAACACACTATCAAAGAGACTGAGGCACATTTTCATGTTCTTTCTTGACAGATGCCCACCTTGGGCCTCCAAGACAACTGGTCAACCATCTTCTTTGCTTTTCTGATGTCCCAAGTTCACTCAGCTAATCATTTGCTGTACCTTCCTTTTCATACATTTTTAAAACTTTGCAATAGAAATTCAAAAGGGGATCACACATTCTTTAATGGGGGGGGTAGGAGCACACTGAACTAAAAGAGCTTTTAATCCTCTTATGCTTCTGTATACAGAGGTGCAAGCAGGGGAAACTGCAATTCAAGTAGCCAAACTAGTTTTTATTTCTTTTTTTTTTGTCTTTTTCCTTTTTTATCGGTACTGGGGATCGAACTCACAACTGCCTGCTTGCAAGGCAGATGCTTATGCCACTGAGCTAAATCCCCAGCCCTAGTTTTTATTTCTTACAATCATTTATTCAGCCAGCCTGGCATCTGGTCCTCCTGTTTATTCCTTTAGGATCCAGCCAAGCCAGGTCAAGCAAGAAGGGGGACTCATGTTAGTTATTAAGATTATTTTTCTAATTGGTTATCTGGGCTACTTTTCTACACTATAGCCAGGCTAGGCCATCTGTGATGACATCTCTGGACCCATGGCACCCATTCTGCTCTCAGCTGTCAAGTACTTTCATCAAATTACTCACTGGCAGAAAAGCCTATTTCCAGGAAAGAATAATGAAACAATAGCTTCCCTGCCTTTCTTCTCCTACCTCAAGAAACACAATGAGCTGACCCATCTTAAATGGCAACCTCCCGAATACTCTGGATTTTTTGCCGTTATTCCAATATATCAACTTGTTTCTACCACACAGCTCTTACAAAGGTAACAGGGGAGTTCTCACCACGCTATCTAGCTACATCTGGGTTTGCTCGAAAACCGTCTTCACAAAGATGCCTCTAACAGTGATGTTTCTACTACTCTCCTCCTGGCCCTGATTCCTCCTTACTGTATTTATCACCATTAACAGAAAACAGGGTATGTAAACTGACTGCATGACTAGCACCACCTGTCCCTACATCACAAGCTTGGAGAGGGGTGCAGGGCAATATACACTTGTTGAATGGCTAAACAGACTCACTGTCAAACCATTTAAGCTTTTTTTTTTTTTTTTTGTACTGTGGATCGAACACATGACCTTGTACTTGCCAGGCAGGTACTTGTGCTGCTGAGCTATATATCCCTGGCCCTCAAATCATTTAATTTTTTAAAAAAGTATACTCACCAAAATATTAAGGAAGCCATGTTTAGTTGAAACCAAGTGGTCACCTTCAATGTGTGTGTGTGTGTGTGTGTGTGTGTATATATATATATATATATTACTGCTTGGAATTTTTTTCCTCTGCTAAAAATCTTTTGGGAACGCTTCTGTAAGAATTCAGAGCCAGGGGCTGGGGATTTAGCTCAGCGGCATAAGCGCCTGCCTTGCAAGCAGGCAGTCGTGAGTTCGATCCCTGGTACCGGTAAAAACGAAAAAGACAAAAAAAAAAAAAAAAAAAATCAAAGAATTCAGAGCCAGAGGGCTGGGGATTTAGCTCAGTGCCTCAAGCACTTGCCTGATAAGCACAAGGTCGAGAGTTTGATCCAAGAATTCAAAGCCCGCTGATGACCTACTTACTTCGTAAGTCATATTCTGCATCATCAAAGCTTCATATATAAAAAGCCATACCCAGTCCAAAATCAAGACAATCTGCTTTAGGTTCTTCAAGGGCTCAGAAGTTTAGATGACTAGTGGTAATGTACTAAATGCATCACTTCCTAAGAACATGGAAAGTAATGATCTAAAGCATTAACACTGACAAACATGAAGACAGACTATGAAATTTATTTTCTGCAGTCCTAGAAACTGAACTCAGGGCCTTGTGCACATGAGGTAAGTGCCCTACCACACAGCTACAGACTATGTACTTGGCCTTCTAGTATGAAATTTAAAACATACTTTGCATATAGATACAATTCTTAGAAGACAGCTGGGCATAGTGGCACGCATCTGTAACCTCAGCATGCTGGAGAAGGAGGCAGAATGACTGCCATGAATTTGACACACAGCCTGAGCTACACAGCAAGTTCAAGGTCTGATACAGTGAGACTCTGTCTCAAGAAAACAAAAAAATTTCTGAAGACAAAGCAGTAACTTCTTGTATTTCATTCCTTCTATCTCCAAACATAATGCCACTGTATATGAGTTGCTGCCAAACTGCATCAAGATTATTTAGCTTCAGTCTGGGCCCATTCTTTCAATTATGTGGTGTTTTCAATCTATCCATATTCTGTAGCCCACAATTTTTAGACTCATCTTCTCTCATAGATCTGGTCACACATGATTTCCTTCATGAGTTTCATCAACACAAGCACTTTAAGACTTCCGGCTCCTGGAAAGTATTATTTAATGAGAAAATCATTGGAAGCAGAAGTGAAAGAACACAAAAAGTTAACAACAAATCCTGTGCCTCAAGAGAAAAGCTTTCTCAAAATTATCTTTGAACGTCACAGGATAGACTAGACCAGCTGAGATCCCATTTCAGAAAACCTACCACCTAGAAGCAAAAGAGAGAGCCCTAGGCTTTTAGCCCACTCTTTTCTATAGTTACTCTGACTCTATTAGCCAGCTGAAAGAGATGGGAGGCAGAAGGCAATTCCACACTCTCTCTTTCCGTAGCAATAATTACTGCCAGCTGAGGACTCCTGAGACTGACTGGAGGACAGTAAACACCAAATGGACTGTGCCCAGGTACAAATGAATGAATGACCGCAGAGCCACACAAACAAGCAATCCTTTTATTGGAGAGACATACCTCTTCATAGGTATATTATCCAAATATACTAACACATAAAAGATCACATCACCTTGTTTATGGATACACTTAATATCCCATACCCTTCCCAACTTTCAAAACATAATAGTATACAAAATATAAAATATCTTAAATATTATAAAAATTGCAAGAAAAAATAGAACGTATGAAAATATTTTTATCTGCGTTTTCCCTCATTGTTGAGAGGCAGCCTAGTTTACCTTGAGTTCATAACTGTTGAGTGGGTAGGAATATGCCCTGCCTAATACTATTCTGTCCCGGAGGAGCTTAAATAAAACATAGTAGTTGCAAAAGAGGATGAGAGCCATAGAAAGTGTGTGGTTCCACTTCTCTGACCGTAGCAAGGAATAGAGCTGATAGAAGACAACACTGCCCTCAATAAGGATAAGTAGATTTAACAGCCTTAATGGACGATGAAACAGGAACTGTAAAGAAGTTTAAAAGAAACAAAAACAAAAAACAATGTTATTTCACAGAGAAGACTTAAGTTATTATTGAACTCATATTTCTAGGATTATTTCATATTTATAGGTTTCAGATGCAATAACCAATAGCTCTGCTGATCAAATTTCAATCAGATCATTTCTTACAATAGAGATCCGAACTTTTGCATTTTTGCTCAAGAATAATGAAAAAAAACTTTACTTCAGTGCTCCTGGGACTTGAGAGTTACACCCCAAAGAATGCTATCTTAAAAGATTTTCCTGAGGTTGTATCTTAGGTATATAGTTCATTAAAAGTAAACAAAAATGTATTTATTTAAGACAAGTTAGAGAAAAGAAACAAATATTTTAGGCTTTGCAAGTCAAGAGGCAAAAGCTGAGACTATATGAACACGTGCATGCCTAAAAGTCCAGCTACTTGGAAGGCTAAGGCAAGACAAGACTTCAAGGTCATGGGCAGGCTAGGTAACTTGGCGAGACCCTATCTGAAAAAACAAATAAAAAGAAAAGTGCTGGCGACAGAGTTCACTGCACCCTGTTCAATCCCCAGTACTGGGAAGAAAGGGGAGGTGCACTATAATGTAGGCACTCAAGTATGTAACTACTTAAAAATGTAAAAGCTAAGCTGGACTTGGTAGTGCAGGTCCATAATCCCAAAACTACAGGAGGCTGCAGCAGGGAAATCACGAATTCGAGTCTGGCTGGAGATGTAGCTTAGTGCAAAGGCCGTGGGTTCAATCCCCAGTACCACAATCAATCAGTCCTTCCCATTCTTAGCTTGTGGGGTTGATCTAAGACATATGGACACAAACACTAGACAAGCTTGTTTGGAGCAGAGAAAAGTATCACGTGTTAAAATATCAATCCAACAGTTTCTTAATTTTCTCTTAAACTGGTTGCCTGCCATGGTCACTGACTGAAATTCTCCATGCCATATACTTCTACTATTTTATTTTTTTCTGAATAATGAGAAGCAGGGTATACAAAGACAAAGCAAAGAGAAAGGAAAACTAAGTCAGAATTAGAACTAAAAATAGGACTTCCTATTTTCATGAAATCCTATAAGGTTCTAAATCCTCATTAGTAAAAAGATGCTGTGACTAAAAAGATTGCAAAGGAACATTATTTAATAATTCAATTTAAAAAGAAATTCAGATTAACGAATTTGGTCTAAATTATGATAATATACTCCATCAGATCTAAAAGAACTAATGATTGGAGTTCAAATGTTAAAGAGTTTAAATTTAAGAATTAACCAAACTATCATGATAAGTTTTGAAGGTACCCTACTTTTCAGGGATCTTCTCCAGAAGGAAAAAAAAATCTTTAACTTATGTTTTATTGGATGAAATCCAGCAACATATTATAAAAAATGACTGACTCAGGGTGAATGTTCTATAAAGATTCAGAACAGCTATTACAGATTCCATGGCAAAATATATGTATCTAAATGTGCAGTAATCTGTAAACTGAAGAAGCAGAAAGATGAGGACAGATTTTAAAGTCTAAGTTTGAGAGCACTCATACTTTAAATGAGTGCTCTCCACTTCAATCTGCTTAAGAATCATTTCCAAACATGCAAATACTGTAAATTCCTGGGATCCTCCAAAGATGCTGAAACAGAAGTCTGAGTAGAGGCTGGAATCACTGATTTTAAAGAGTGGACCAGGTAATTCATGTGCAGATGGCCCAAGGACCACCTTAAGAAACATTGATTTAATCACTTGGTCATACAAAACCAGTAATTAGTTAACTTGCCTAATCTTCTATGAATTCCATTTGATTCTTCAGCTGTGCAAAACTAGCAAAGTAAAATACTTATTTACTCAACAGAAAATTCTAACAAAATATCTGGTCATTACAGGTGTCCAAGGGACAGCAAGGACTAACAAGGGAAGGAATTAATGGCCTACAGAACTCAGCTGGTTGAATTAAGTATCATATGGAGAAATCAAATGCTTATGTGATTGACTCCCCCATCTTAGGGCAATCTGTTAAGAGCTGGGAGGAACTGGGAGATGGTAATTGAGAAAATGCTGCTGGCACCTCATCCAAGGACCTTCACCCTCCTATGCTACCAACCTTTTACGTATCCCATCTTCCTGACCATGATATTTGTAAGTATCCTGTCCGGTCCTCCCAAGAGCTAACTAAAAGGTCCTTAAACAACATTCATAGAACTAGAAAGTCCATGTACTTCACATTTAAGTAGGAAGTACAGAAGGAAAAGGGGACATAAATACAGTACTCAAAAGAAGATCCCCAGCCAAGATCCCCAGCTGGGCACGGTGGCACATGCCTGTAACCCCAGCACTCAGAAGGCTGAGACAGGAAGATCACTGAGAGTTCAAGGCCAGCCTGGACTACATAGTAAGTTGAAGACCAGCCTGGACTACATAGCTGGTCTCAAAAAACAAACGAACAAACCAAAAAAAACAAAACAAAAGTCAGAATGGTCTCCAGTCTCAGGCAATGATTATTACATTTGGACATTTTTACTACGAATTGCCTTCCACATGTACCCTCTATTTTTCCTGCTTGTATCAGCCAGCAAGCTACATTAAGTAAAAATGTCTACCTCTTGGAACTAGAATTTCTAGAAAACTGAATGACTAAAAAGAACATAACCCAAGACCTAAACACAAATGGGACAGAACATGGATTCAGTGGGTGCTAACTGCTTTTTCTATTTTTAACTTTAAAATTTTTTTTCTTTTAAATCCAAGTATGTAAAAGGTTGCAGATCATGGCATTTTTCTGACTTCCAAGGGGCAAGTTAAGGAATTTTACAGAGCCAATACACACACACACACACACACATACACACAAACTCAAATATCTGTTGGAGTATTACTCAGCTATAAAAAAGGAGATTCTAGGCTTTTATAGGTAAATGGAGGCAACTTGAGACCATACTCATAAGTGAAATAAATCAAACTAACATTTATAAATAGTGTATTATCTCCCCAGCATAAAAAATAAAATCTGAAAAGAGTAGTAAGATCCAAAATATACAATATTATAACAATGAAAGGGAAAGAAAGTGCTCAAAACAATTAGGATAGAGGAAAGGAAAAATTATATGTATGTTGATAAACATATATAAATGTATATATGTATACATAATGCTAGATAATACTACTAATCTGTTACTTCATCAAAAAGTTTGTGCTGTCATTGACTGATCAATTTTATGCCTAGATTTTATAACCTGAACTACTTCTAAGATGACAATATGCACTATATTAAGTAGTGTTGATTCTCTACATTTTTTTGAAATTCTGTATCATTTCTATCCTTTTTTTCTGTTTTTCTTTTTTTAAAATATAAATAATAACTAAAACAAATATCCACCACATTATCACTAAGTATCACTTAAAGATACACAGATACAATGTATCTTAAGGACGTAGAGAACCCAAACTATTATAAAACAAAACTGTAGATGAAAAAGGAAGTCTTACAAAACTGCCTACTTGTTTCAAATACTAGATGCAACAAATTACAACGTAACTAGAGAAACCAGCTAAGCTGGAATAATGGTATATAACCTTCATCTGTTAGCAATAATTACTGTGCATTAACTTCCTAGTGTTAGACACTGAGGAGGTGCTAACATATTTAGCTGCCTAACACTCCTAAGCTTATGTTAGAAAACAAGGAAGTGGTACTTGCATAAAAGCGGGCATGGGATACATCTGAAGGCACCGCCACGTTGTAAGGCCCCATGGCTCTGTATAAACACCTGCTGTGCCGCACCAGTACCCCTTGAGGCCATATTGTATTTTCTGACCAACTAAGGAAAAAAGAAAGGCAGTGTTAGCACATTGACAGTTACAGGCAAGACAGTGTTTGGCAAGGCCAGTTATATTTTAATGGGAGGGACTGTAACTACTCAAGGTTTCATCTGTTTGAATTCTGAAAATACAGCAACTCCACAAACTACTAGTTAGAATGGATTTGTGATGGTCATTTCATTGCTATGGAGTACAGACAGATTGCAAAGTGATATGGTTAACGTTGAAGAACTTAAAAGGCTAAGAAAAATAAGCAGATATATGTTTAAGTAAGGCATCTACGGGCAAGAAAACAGTGTAAGCAGTCATCTCCATTCCAAGTGAGAAGAGTCTACAGACAGAAATGACAGGGAAAAAAAAAAAGAGGACGTGGATGGTAGCTAAGGACAGAAAAGAAATTAGCACACTGTCAACTAGCTTTACTGCGGAATTATATCCCCCAAAAGCTAAAGAAAATCAGTTTGCTTATCGAACAACTGGAACACCTCACAGATGTAGGAAGTTCTAGAGCAGAACACAGACACACGAGGGACTGACACAGACTTTTTACCGCCTTCTTGGTTTATTTCTCTAGGGAAAAGGAGTTAGGGAAGAAACAGCTTCATTCTTTCCAGCATCAATGTAATGAAGTTGGGGTGGGAATGGGGATCTTCAGGTTAAGCTTTTTTATATAAAAAAAGTGATTTAGTTGATTCTTTCCTTCCTGATTTTGGAAAGGTTAGTTTCCTAGAGTAAGGACTGGGACAGCAGTTTAGATATGTTAAAATACATATTCTAGCACCCTGAAGCTTTCCCAGTTGAGAAACTGTCCCAACGGCCCTGCTCACACTTACCAGTATTAGGTGATGACACCCCTCATGGCCGTGTGCCATCAGGAGCCTGAAGATGTACAGTGCTAGCACTGTGGGTGGTATTTTCAATTTTTACTGAAATCTGTCCTTGCCCACAGTCGGGTTTCTTTTCAGCCTGGCCCAATCTCTTTCACTTCCTGGGCTTGAAGGCCTGTGCTAATCTGTATCAGACATCAAGGCAGATAATTGAAGGGAGAACTCTGAGGGGGAAAGGGGAAGGGAAGTCACCTCAATCTGTCCCGCTCAATTAGGACAAAGTTGGCAAGGGATGAAATTTATGAAATGTTCAAATTATAAAAAGGAGGAAGGTGAAAATGGTCCAGGTCTAAGAAACAGGTATGATGACAGGCTGAGAAGCGAGAGAACAAAGGGGTTCTAGAATTAGCTATTTTCGAACAAAATGGGCCATGCAGAGAAATTATTGATGGGGGAGTGAGAAAGACACAACAGTGTTGATTTAAATGAGAAAAGCAGAAAAAGAGGGAGAGGAGATTAGGGGGAAGGAAAAAAAATTTAAACAGCAGACAGGGAAAATTACTAGACCAAATCTGCAAATATTAGAAAAAAAAGAGAAAGCAAATTGCAGCTGTTAAGTGTGAAATCGGCAGCTAGCAACTACTTGACTGTGGCAATGACGAGGAGAAGACAAATCTTAGAGCCTTATATGACTCTGAATTTTTGGCAAAGGATTAAAACTAAAAGAAAACTTCAAAGTGCAGCCTGGGACACAAATTATATTCTAGACTGATTGGGCAGCTGAAAGAAAGGTAGGATGCACTTAAGAAGGGACAGAATGGTGGTGGAAATGAGTTAATGCTCCCTGTGTTCGGTTTAGCATGATGACAAGCATCCGTGTAGATAAAAACTAAAAAATGTTCAAAGTCAAGAACAAGAATGACACACAAAGCAAACAAACATGACCAGCGGCATGTGGACAGTGTTACGTGCTTTTACCCTCTACCTTACTCACATGTGCTGTGGGGCATTGCTGTAAGACCCGTGCTCCAGCTTCTGCCACTTGCCCAGATGTGCGGCTGACTTATGTAGCAAATCACAGTATTTGGATGGCAGCAGTTGCGTGGTGAGCATGACAAAGGCATTGATCCACACCATGATAAGGTGCTCACATGACCAGCGCATGTCGTAATACTGGGTGCTCTGTAAGAGAACCATAAGAGAGAGAAATGACCCGTGCACGGACGCACAAAGGCAGGGACGGGTGCGTGTACATATGCCCCGCAGACAGATCCACACTGAGTCAACATGCACTGGTTGTCCTGCTGTCCGTGCAGAGACTTCGAGAGCAGAGTCCTCCAAAATCCTTCCACCTGACTTTCTGGCTGTGTGAGTTAGGGCTGGGAGGGAGAGCAATTGTATTTTAAGTGTTTCCTTTCTAGAAGAATTGAGTGCTTCTGAAGGACCACTCCGGCTGCAGAAGTGCTTCTGAATAGGTGAAGGAAACACTAAAATGTCCCAAAAGATTCTGGGCCAAGTGACATCCAGACCATTTTTCTTTACTATTGAAATAAACTGAAGTTTAGAAATGGTTAGATTAAATTCAAAGTAACTCTAGGTAACCCTGTTAAGATAACCACAATACGCTGAATTCACTGAAACCTTGGTTCTCTGAAGCTGCTACATACTGATATATTTCTATACAATTTTAATGCTCCCCACAAAAACGTAAAAAAAAATTAAAAAGAAAGAAGAGAAAAAGAAAGAGGGACCACCACAGGGTGCATCACATATATGGAAATACCTATCCGCCAACCAGGAGCGGTATTAGTGTACTCCAGATGCAGCCGAACTCCACCATCCAGGCTGCCAAAGGGGAGACAGAGAAAAGGGGGAATTAAACAAGAAATGCCCAGTTGATGTAATTCACACACAAATCCAGGGAGCACTCAGAGTGAGATAACAGCTTACCTTTACAAAACACAAGGGGAGAAATGCAACATAGTAGGCACTGAAGAGAGAGTTGAAAAGAACTTCTTTGATTCTGTGGTTGAAATCTGCTTTCAGACATTCTACTTCATTACGGATAAGGTCTGGAGACAGGGGGCAGCTGTGGGTGGGGATGGGCGTGGCATTATTAAACTGTTCTTTTAGAGACTCCAGTAATAAGGAGAGGAAGTCTTTGGATTTGGCCAAGCCACCCACAGTTGAGGCACTTTCCTCTACAACCTGGTGCTGAACCACATAGTTATAGTCTGTGAGAAGAAGATGAGCTCTGCTATCTTGGTGGAAACAGCAGAGAGGAACATAAACACCAAACCTGTAAGACAAGATAGACATCCATATGAGACCACAGTAGCACCTCCAAGCACACCCTACAATCACCTCAGTAAACAGTCACCACCCACCAGAGGAGACGCACCCTGTGGGGACTTTGTTGACAGCAAATTTGTTATTTACAAAGCTCTGTAATTTCCTTCCATAAAAGCAGTATGCACTCACTGTACAACAGAAACTACAGAAAAATCACAATGATAAAACATAAATCACAGTGAACTAATCATCTTTATTATTGGGTGCACATTTTTCCAATGCATAAACTTTATACACAGTTACATATACTTTGTCCTCATATAACACAGAATGTTTTTATATCCTGCTCTATATGTATGTATTGAGTTTTTTCTCATGGTGGTGCAAATATTCTATAACAGATTTTAAACATACTATAGATTCTTAACTATTCACTTGTAGGTGGCACCATGACTTACCTATTCCTCTTGTTAGAAACAGGTTGTGTCTGGTTTTCCATTAGCATCAATAATACATTAAGGACTTTCCTAGCACCCATCTTAGTATAAATCTAGTAGTTTTCACAGTTTGTCCTTCACTTTAAATGCCTCCTTAGTAAAGGCTCCCTGGCCTCCAAACTACCACTCACCCATCCTCACTAACTCCCCTTTTCTGGTTATTTTTCTCTATAGACCTTATCATTCCACGTGTTTATTAGGTGGGGGGGACAGTTCTTTCTGCTTGGTTTATCATTCCCTCATTACAAATGTAAGCTTTAGAAAGCTGAGATTTTAGCCTAGCTAATTCGCTAGTCTTACATCGTTGATAACTTCAACAGTGGCTCGAACGGTATTCTCTCAATATTTGATGAATTAGGTGAAAAGAAATTCTGGAAATGCAATAACTTCTTAGAAGAATTACTGAATACTTTTCAGACTTCTGATAACATTTTGGGGGCTAGAGCCCTATCACTGAGCTACACTCAGTTTCTCTCTGTTCTTTTTTTTTTTTTAAACACTGTATTGGGGATTGAACCCAGGAGCCTTACACTGGGTTTTACTTTTTAACTTTTGAAACAGGGTCTTACTATGTCACTAAATTTCCCTGCCTGGACTCAAACTTGCAATCCTTCTGCCTCAGCTTCCCAGAGTAGTGGGATTACAGGTGTATCTACAACATCCAGTTTCCTAGATAATTTTTTTTTCTTTTGTACTGAGAACTGAACTCGTGACCCTGCACTTGCCATGCAGGTGCTGTGCCACTGAGTTATATCCTATATCCTTGGCTTGATAATTTCTTATAGTTATTCCAACTCTTGGTTCTTTAAACATTTTAAAAACACTTTCCCAAGTTCTTACTGAATAACTTTCACACTGTAATCCATGTATTACAAATAAAAATGGTCACTTCACGGACATAGATTTGGGTAAAAAATAGTAACTGAAAGACCTTGTTTGGTTATACACTTTATAACAGTATTATCAATGACATTTGTTGTTAGTTTTCTGCAGAGGGAGAAAGGATGAGCTTATGAGTAGCTACAGGATCCACTGTAAATGGACTCTTGGAAGTGTGGGAAGGGGCAGAAGCAGAAGTTTCAGTAGAAAAACACACACACATACAACACTGTGATGGCTAGAAAAAGCTGAAAAGAAGTCTGAGATTTCTGAAGCACAAGATGAATGAGTAGGCATGGGAGAGAGAGGCCGGGGTGTGGTAGATTGTAACAATGGCACCACTGATTCTTTACTCTTCCTTATAGTCTCATCATTTCCCTATGCAACTCACTACACAGCCTCCTCTGTGGGGAAGGTGACTCGCATGCCCATGTTGGGCTCAACGATATGCCTGTTTTAGCCAGTGAGGCTGGGCAGAGGGTGGAAGGCAGAGGGACTGGACCTGGCATGAGCAACTTAGCTCTGCCTCAGAATAAAAAATGAAAAAGGACTAGCGATGTACAGCAGCTCAGTATCAAAGCCTTGGCTTCACTTCCCAGCACTGAAAAAAAACAAAGTGACAGAAAGAAAGGTCAGCCGACATGGTGCAATCAGCACTTAAAATGGGCTTGCCCACGGAGGCCCACTCTCCTGCTATTCTGCCAGTTTCACCTAACTGCACAAGCGTATTGGCCACAGAATGAGAAAACATGGGAGGCAGGACTTAAGTCGTTCCAGTTGCATGGACTGATGACTGCCACTCAAGCTCAGGAACCACTTGACTTCCAGGTGGCTCCAATATATGCACAGTAAAGACATAATGTGACAGGCTACTTTGGACCTGTGATAGTTATACCACTACTGAGGCACTAGACAACTGATACGTATAAAAGAAAGGAAAATGGAAAGGTAGCATGGAAGGTTTAGACCTTTGTGAGGTAAAGGAAATGATTCATTAAAAGATTTTAAAGAGTTAAATTCCTTTTTCAAAAATCAATCTACAATGAAAAACAGAACAGAGAACAAAAATGAATTACAAGATGACCAAATAAAGGTACAGAATGTAATACAGAAATTATGGAAAACAGCAGATTTAAAATATGTTTAGGAGCCACAATTTTAAGACTGTGGACTGATATTTTGTTGTTTTTCTGAGACAGGGTCTCATCGTGTAGGTCAGGCTGGTCTTAAACTCACTATGTGGCCCATGCTGCGATCTTTTAAAGTCAACTCCAGAGTGCTGGGATTACAGACATGCGCCTGGCTAGACTGTAGACTAACTTACCCTGAACTAAAAAGCTACTTAAGAAGGGGCGGGGGGCGGGGAGGGCGGGGGGAATAGACCCTCTTTTTAAACCTATGAATAGACAGATATAGTTGTTTTCATAATCTAATATTTTGAATTTCTCATATTTACTTTTTAAAGTTTCCATAAAAGGTAGATTATATAATTTTTAAAAGTCAAAGGTAAATATATTTAAACCTAAAATTATTTAAATTACATGCATATTTCATTGTTTTATGGAGTGTAAAGAACTTTCAAGAATAAATAAGCTTCTTCATATATTCATAATTGAAATGAAGGCTTGCTAGCAATTTTGATGATGGTAATTCTGTTTAAACTAGATAGAGGGGCCAGGAATACAGTTTAGCAGCAGAGGGCCTACCAGGCAAGCACAAGGTCCTAAGTTCATTCCTGGTACCCCAAAAAAATTCTTGGTGAATACAGCTAATTAAAATATTCTTCATCAGAAGAATGGCTATTCATACTAGCTTCACAGGACAGTCTTAACTAATTCCTGTTGCCCAGTTACCCAAGTTTATAAAAACAAATTACACAGTCATCATATCCATCTTTCTGAACCCTGGGCTTATGAAGCTTTCATTTTCCATTCTTTAACAGTATCACTTACATGACCCAAATAATTTCTAAACATTTACTAATAAAATGTACACCTGGGGTACTCACGGGTAGCCAAGGAAGAGGAGATTGAGGACTGAATGGCTTCGAAAGAGATTGACAAGGGTCCAGCAAAGCACCCATCCACACAAAGTAAGCAGCACCAAGCGCGCTGATATCAGAACCATGTAGTGAATCATGGACGCTGCACCCGCCTTAGTGGCCTGAAAGTTTGGAAGCACCAAAAACAGTATTTTATAATTGATCTTATTCAAAAGCAATATGACTCAACTAGGCTTAGTAGGTTTAGGAGAAGGTGAACTGTGCAAAAAAATAAAATAATAATAATAATAATAACTGCCCCACGCCACTTATCTTGCAAATACTTAAAAATTCAGACTTTTCCAGGCACAGACCTTCTTGTACCCTCAAATTCCTTCACATAAACCTCTTTTAAGTTTTAGCATTATTACCTACTTGGTTTACACTAAGATTTCTTTTTTAATTTTCAACTAATTATCCTATTTTTAAATTTTTAATCCTTTTTAAAGAGAAAACAAAACCCATTGTTGGTTTCCTATTGTCTTGTTTTGAAGTCTTATAATTATATTAATAATCATTCTTTTGTTTTGATTGGTTTTATACTATTTTGTTTTGTTTTCTTGCATTGTATGTGAAGTTATGGACAACTATTTCAAAGAAAACAAGAAACATTATAGTAGCCACTGTTGATTTCCACTTGTTGTGAAGTCTTGTGTAGCTTGCATTGTTCTGTTCTGACTTACACCAGGATTTCTTAAAAGTATGCTCCATGGACCAGTCAGCAGAGTTACCTGGGCTGCTACATGTGAATTCCCAACAACCTTCCTCTCCAAATGCAGGGAACATGCATGGTGGTGTACATCTGTTATACCAGCATTCTGGGAGACCAAGGCAGGACTTCAAGTCCAAGCCCAGTCTACTCAGCAAAATCCTATCTCAAAATAAAAATAAAGCCAGGTATGGTGGCACACATCTATAGTCCCAGCACTCGCGAGGCTGAGGCAGGAGGATTGCTGTGTTGGAGGCCAGTGAGGGCTACAAGGTGGGTTAAAGGCCAGCCTGAACTGCATAGCAAAACCCTGTTTCAAAAAGACAAAAGAAAGGAGGAAGAGAAGAGAAGACACCAGACAAGATGAGACCAGACAGGACAAAAAGAGGGTTGTACCTCAGTGCAAAGGCTCTGGGTTGAATCCCAAGCACCACAGGACAAAAAATGTATTCAAAGAACCTTCTGGGCCATCTTCATACACATAAACGTCTTCAGAGCCATCAACTTATCTGTCTTACTTGCCCGCAGACCCAAAGTGTGGTCAACGGCACCCACAATATTTCCATTTGTCTTTCAATCCTTTCCTCTAATTTATTTGCTGAATTACTATTTAATAAATTATTGATATTTCATAATCGTATCTTTGACAGACCCCCACATAAACAGAAGTTTAATTTTGGCACACATGGAAATAATGCATAATCATTTCTGATTCTTTATTAACACGTTTAAATATGTTCCTTAAAACCAAATCTTCAAAAGTGACCGTAATGGTTGATATAATGTGTCAACTTAAGAAGTTTGGAAATTTAAGTGATTCAGCAGAGGGATAGGATCCTCACTGTGTAAACATCCTGAGCCAGTGCATGAGTACGACACCCGCCCAGGGCAGGCGGGCTGCTTACAATATAAGGGAGGAGCAGAGATTTGCACTCTCCATGTTCTTCCCCCCAACCTCCGCCTACTTTTGCTGCCCTTCTGTCATGCCACGTTTTCTTGGCGCCAGTTAATTTTGGATTAAACCTCTATAATGTGCGCTAAATACTTTTTCATCCTTAATTTTAGGCGTCAGTATTTTGTCACAGTAATAAGAGAACAGTAACTAGGACACATGTGCTAGCTACCAGGAAAGTAACAGGAAACCCTAACCTGAGGAAAATTTCTCTCACAGAGTGGTATTCAAGCTCAGATCTAAAGTAAGGGAGGAGCAGAAAATTACTCCTAACACTGTGTTAAAGGTATGCAGACAATGTCCCCAAATATATTTAAAAATGTATTTTAAAATATCTTACATATAAAAGCTTGTATTAAGTATAATGTATAAGGCCTTTATATAAATATTTTATATATATCTTCAGACACAAGCCAGATACAATGGCACACACTTATTAATTAATCCCAACACTCTGGGAAGGCTGAGGAAGGTGGACTGCAAGCGTGAGTCCAACCTGGACAACACAGCAATTTAGCAACTCTGTCTCAAAGATACAAAGGGGCACCAGGTGTAGCAGTGCGCACGTGTAATTCTAGCACTTGGGAGGGTAGGGCAGCAAGATTTCAATGAGCCCAAAGCCAGCCTGAGTTACACAGCGAGTTCAAGGATAGTTGGGACTGTATAGCAAGAATCTAAAAAAAAAGATAAAGACCAAAAAGGACTGAGGATAATGCTCAATTTATAGGCCCTGGGTTCAAATTCCAATACTAGGGGAGGGGAAAAAAAAACAAAAAAGAAACACCCAACTATACATACATAAAGATTAGAAGGAAATATAACATGCTTTTTAATAATGGGGCTGTAATTTTTTATATTTTTTGCTTTACATTTTACTGTTTCTCAGGTTTTTTTTTTCAATAAAGTATATAATTTTTTTCCAATGAAGTATACTATTTTTATGTTTAGAAAAATGAATTAGATAGCTTAGCCGGGCTTCGAATAAATGTGCCCAACCAAGTCCAGCAGAAAACCAATTTTTTAAACAGAATTGATTCAAGTTGGTGGAAAGAATACCTGTCCTTATTTTTAAGGCTTGTGGAACAAGTATAGAAGTAGCACTGGCCAGGACATACGTAAACATAATCTATCTAAATGGAAAGGTAGTCCTTTTTGTTTTTTTGTCAGTACCAGGGATCGAACTCACACCCACAAGCTTGCAAGGCAGGCACATATGTAGCTGAGCTAAATTCCCATCCCAGGTGGTCCTTTTTTGAATAGCATTTTGCTTTCTGAATTAATTATCTCTCCTTAAAAATGACTGTTTTTTGTTTTTTGTTTTTTTTTGGGGGGGGGGTAGGAATCTTTTCTGAGAATTAAGTTTAAAAAAAAAAGGCAAATATTTCAATGGAAGGAAAGACATTTATCATGGATTTATCCACCTACTCTAGATACATTAGTAAAAATTATTATAGAGCTCTTAATTTTCAAACAGCTAAGATAGTTACATTACTCAAATTGTAAAATACCGTATATACAATGTTTGCTGTGAAAAGCTTCCCTCCTGCTGCACCTGTATCTCAGCTACCAACAGGCAGTCCATTATTAGTCTGCATTCCTTCTGAAGACATTTTATTCAAATCTAAGCAAATATATTTTGCTCCCACCAGGCATATATCTACAGCCCCAGCACTCGGGAAGCTGATGTAGGAGGATCACTGGGAGTTCAAGGCCAGCTTGAACTACATAGCCAGACCTCCTGTTCAACAAAACCAGCACCTCACCAAACTATATTCTGTTCCCTTTGTGTATTTCATTTAAGTACTGGAGATTGAACCATGAGAGCACTGAGCTATATCCTCAGTCCTGTCTGCTGCTTGTTTAAGACAGGGTCTTATAAACTGAATAGGCTGGTCTTGAGCTTGCAATCTGCCTGCACCAGCTTCTGAAACTGCTGGAATTATAATTAGAAAGGACTTAAACACTACAGTACCTAGTTTAACTGAACTGCCATACACAAGTACCATTTCCAAATTAATGAAGTGACAGAAAAAAAAAATCATTCCCTGCTTGTTTTTACAGACACAAACAAAAGCTTGAACTAAGATCCTCTACAGAAAATTATCAATATATAAGCATTTATTCTTATCACATAAATAAATACCCTGGAAGAAAGGTTACAGAAGCCTTTCCTATTGTGAGAACCTGACAATCTTACTACTCTGTTTTTCAGCTAACTTCAAACAGCTTTCAGATCACAACTTAATATCTTAATTACTCTGTGTTCACAGAAATCAGATTTCTGAAAATTAAAACTTACAAACAGAAAGACTTTTGTTTTAGAAGAAAAAATTTAACTCTTCATTATTTGTGATCATAGTAACTATTCATTTATAATTCCACACTGAGGAGAACTGAGAGTTCAAAGCCAGGATAGACTACTTGGAAGGTTCAAGCTAGCCTCAACTATATAAGGAGACCTTATCTCAACAAAGCCTAAATAAAGTACTGGCATCACTCAAGTAAAGAGTAAAGAAGTTAAACAACAAGAGTGTTTATGTATTTTGCATCTAAAATAAAATTAATTTGGATACTTCATGCTTTCAGTCTGAGCTCATTCTAGTAATTAAGCCCATCTACATGTGACAGAACACAGTGGATGAGTGGTTACCTCTGAGATGAGAGCCCACACAAGCCTCCTTGCCAGCATTACTGTAATGAACGCTGCCAGGTGATAATCAATGAGATGAAAATTCTGGAAGAGAAACAAAGATCTGTATCAGAAAGAAACCTGTGTGCATCAAACTGTGACCACTCCGTGAACAACAGTTTGCCCCTCTGGAGCATCATTTCCTCTCAGCCCCCTTGTCCTATCTCATCCCTGCTGCTGTTTGTTAAAAAAAAGAATAAAATAATTTAAAAAATATTTAGTGGTACACTTTTGCAACCCTAGCACTCAGGAGGCTGGGGCAGAAATGCTGTAAGTTTGAGGCCAACCTGGGCCTCAAACACAGTGAGCTCAATACCAGCCTGAACTACAAGATGAGACTCTGCCTCAAAAGAGAGAAAAAAATCCAAAGCAATCTGGACCTCAATATGTTTCCCTTCATCACTCTACCCTTATAGACCAAAGGAATCTGAAAGACCTTAAAGAAATTGCCTACTTTCTACTTCTCCTTTCATGACAAATCTGCTACAACTAATCACTATTTTAAACTATCTGGAATACATGGCTCTTTTTAAAACTTTACTATATTAAAAAAAAAAAGAGATCATAGCTTTGAGTTAAGTAACATGCTAAAGAACTGTGACAATAATTCATTTAAACTTCCACATTTATAATGTGTCAAACTTAATGGATCAGCTGGGATTCACAGTTTTTAGGAGCTACTGTTGTTGGCCTCTATTCAAACATGTTAACCTAATGAGACATCTACTAAACTCTCTATTGCTGGGCCTGGTGGCACACTCCTGTAATTCCAGCTGAGACAGGACAGCAGCAAGGCTGAAGTCAACCTGCATTAACTACATAGTGAGTTCTAGGATAGCCTAAACAACGCAGTGAAAACTTGTCTCAAAACACAAAACAATAAGCAAGTTCAAGGCCAGGAGGTACTACACAATGTGACCCTGTCTCTAACAAAAAAAAATTGTATTGTTAGTCCTTCTCTGTAACTTAACCTAGAAATATGCATTAAACCCAACCTCTTCCTCTTTAAAAACAGTAGTATTACCCAGATACCATCTATAATTCCTTCTTGTTCTAAGTCTGTATACAGAAATGTGACAATCAACAAAATGAAATCTCTATTACGATATTCTAGAATCAACAAAATTTGGATATATTTTCATTTTGATAGTCACAAGTTGTGCAGGCTTATAATTCCTTTCCAAATGAAAAGCTGAACTTCTCAATTAATTGAATAAATATGTACTTTGCATCTAAAATATGCCAGATACCCTTAAGTATATAGTGCCAAATGTAAAAGCCAAACTTCCCGCTCCTGAATCTTAACTTTACTATGATGTGAGAAAGAAATCAAACAGCAGAGATTACTGGTTGCCCTTCTGACATCAGAGTAGAATTTAACCGCAGTTGATTCCCCTTGCTAACTAAAGCTTCATTTCCTAGCCTCCCTCGAAAAACTACCTCTAGACAAGGACACATGAAGGATAGATTTAAAAGGGCTGAGAATGCAGCTCACTGTGGAGGTCTTCAATCCTTACTAACACAAAACAAGTTTCTTTCCATACTACCTTGAGGAATTGGGTCTGTATTTCTATACTATGCCCACTGGGCTAGAAAGTTTTAAAGCCCCTAACACACTAGGACATAGTAGCGCATGCCTGTAATTTTAGCACTGTGGGAGAACGAAGCAAGAGGATCACAAATACTAGCCCATTCTGCGCTACTTAGCAAGAAATTATTTCAAAATTAAAAATTTAAAAAGTCCCAAACACATACATAAATTATTCAGCACCAGTGTTCTTTCTTTGTCCTAGAGAAAAACGATCACATATTCATCCGAATCGCCCACTGCCCACCACCCATGCCTTGCTACATGACTAACCTTATATATTTATATAAAGAATCGCCTTTACATTAAGATAATCACAATCCTGCTAGATGGATGCAAAGAGTAGAAAAAACACGATATGCTTTTATGTATCTCAGTAGAGACAGCTATTCCCTATCTAAACATTTATTTTTGTAACAGCTACATTTATTTTCATAACAACCCAACTGTACTGGATGCAAGTTAACCATGTATATGCAGGTAACTATCCAGCCAATGAGTTATACAATTTTCTAACCCCTTTGCCCCAGGTAGCAACGCACACATGGATATGATGGGATCCTAATCATACAAAATTCCCTTTGTATTTGCCTCTGTTTTTCCTCATTTCTGGTTAACAGGAACAAATTACAGCTACCTGCTGGAAGACAACAGTCTCCACCAACCTGGGTCCCCTGACTGGCCACATGGAAGAACTTCACCAACCATGAAACTGCCTCAGGTTGTTAGATACTAGAAGCATTACACAATTTTGCATAGATTTGTTATATAAGCTGCACTAACCCAATTCAGCCATAAAAGGTAAATTTGATGGAATTGTATCATACCTGACACCTTACATTTACAGCAAACAATACAGGATAAATTTAAGTTTCAAAACCTTCTTGTGATATTATTATTTATTTAAATATTTTCTACATTTTTATTTATACGTTTATATCCTCTGGAAATATTTATATTTTAATAATCTTATGTAGTTTTCTTTCTGAAAGTAATCTGTGGTTCAGTAGAAAAACATCTACTAAAACAAAAATTATTAGGAAAAATAATTTTTTTATCTAGATTATTCTGGCTAGTTTCTTGCCTAAGTGACATAAAAAATTTAAAGTCCTATGACAACTTACCAGTGAAGTACAAGATGCAGGGTGATTGTAAGGATACCACCACACAGTTTTATAGATATTGATGTACTGAATGAACAGAGCAATCAATAGGTAGATGAAAAACAGAAATTCAAACAGCAGGTTCCCATCCATAGGCAAGTCGGGAATTTGGCAATGACGAACAGGACCTGGGGTGATTAAGGCTGTGATAGGTGGGACTGGAAGGCCAATAGCGCTACCATTCCTGAAAAAGAAAATCATGGTTAACACAAATGTCGACACTCTTCTGTGTCGCAGAGCACAAAGGGCCTGCTCCTCCTCCCTACCTACTTACTCTCTGTTGGCATTGCCCAGGCTCTATTCTGGGATCTTCTTTCCTTCTCTTTCTAATCATTTTCTTGGTGATCTATGGTATAGCTGTGGCTTCCATTAGCTGCTGTATACCAAAGACTGAAATTTCCCTGCAAAGAGTTCACTGCTGAATTTTAAACCCATGCTATCCAACTTCCTATTACACATCTGTATTTCTCCTACGGTCCTGACTCCAGTTCATGACCCATTTGTTAGCTTCCCAAATCAGAAAGCTAGGTTAGAGCTTTTCTTCCGTCTCTACAAAGCCAATCACTCTCTAAAGAACTGTATTCCACTTCACAGAATTTTCTTCAGAATGTACTTTTTCTCTCAATTCACTGTTTGGTTCAAGCATTCACCAATTTTTACCTAAATTATTGCAGTAATTCTCCTAAATTCAAACTACTTTCAGGAATCTTTATAAACTGACTCACTGGACATGGTTGGACATGCCTCCAATCCCAAAGCTTGAGAACCTGAGGCAGTAAAGTCACAAATTCAAGTCTAGCCTAGCTACATAGTGAATTCTAGGCCAGCCAGGATTACAGAGCAAGATCCTGCCTCATAAAATAAATAATATAATGAAATTCCAATGTTGCTCTTTTACCTAAAACTCCTTGATGGCTCTACACTGCCAATGGGATAATATTCAAAAAATGTTAGTAGACCCTATGGAGCTTTCTGTTTTACCAAGTAGCCTTAGCACAGTACTTCTGTACATGCACCCTCATACTCACGCTATTTACTTCTGGGAAAACAGAAACTGTTCTTTCCTGACTTTATTCCCTTTATATCCAATACCTTCCATAATTACCTTCCTTAATTACACACTTACTGACACCCTTCAAGACTTTTAAGAGGTCAGGAAAATAGTTCAGTGTGTAGCACATATCTAGCATGTAGAGTCCTGGGTTCAATCCTCAACACTACCACGAAAAAACAAAACAAAAACTTTTTAAGATGTTCAAACATACCTTTGTTGGGACTTACTCTGACTCAATCAAACAAAACTGATTTAATCTCAATTTTTATACCACCATCACACCTAAACTATGCTAGTATTATTGTACTTTTCATGCTGTTACATAATGTTTTGTATGCCTCTATGGCTTGGCTATCAGACCATAATCCCAAGAACAGAGACTATTCTTAGTTCACTGCAAAAATATACACTTAGGCTGAGAAGACAGCAGACCAATACAATCATGAAAAATCCCAGAAATAGCTGGGCTATCTGAAGTGAAGTTGGAGACAGAGAATAAAACTTCGTATTGTTCACATGCAGGGGAATAGTTAAGAGTTCCAGGGATCTGCTGCGGTTTACACAAAGGGGAAAATGAGTCTTGGTTTGGATACTTTGAAAGAAGATTCCACAGAAGAAACAATATTAGCGTTAGCTACCTTTCTACTTTAAAATTTCCAAACATGGGCCAGGAATACAGCTCGGCAGCACAGCAGCTGCCTGGTAAGCTCAAGATCCTGAGTTTGATTTCCAGTACCAAAAAAATACAATACAATAAAAAAGAATTTCCAAACACAAAATTCTAGCATTATTATATTGCATTGACAATACTTTAAACAACTCACGAGAACATGAACTCTGCTTATAACGCCATAAGCCAATCTATTCCCTCACTCCAGTTAATTATAAGCTATTGAAATAAAAAATGCTCAAGACACCTTACAAGGTTAGAAACCTCTAATATAAACAAACTAAAACTCTCTACTCCTCTTCAGTCAAAACTGAAGTGCAGCACTGTGGTTCTAGGACAGGGAGGTTTGGGTGGAGGTGTAAGCTGGGTAGATGAGGACATACCTGGTGTTAGCTCCCAGTAAGGCAACAGTGCGGGGGATACACACTAAACTTATCTGTTATGATTGAAGGGGGATACACACTACACTTATCTGTTATGATTGAAGAGTTTAAAATGTTATTAAAATTTTTTCCAAGTAAAACACACTACTATACTTCTGCTATTAACAAAGTCAATAGCTACGTATTGTGGCACACACTTGTAATATATTTTGGAGGCTGAGGCAGGAGGACTGAGACAAGTTGGTGGCTATTCTGGGCAGTTTTAGAGAACTCAAAGCCAACCCAAACTACATAGCAAGGACATTCTCTCCAAACAAAAGTTAACATAAAATTGGCCCTTATGGAGCTAGCAAACAGCTACTTAGTGAGTTCAAGGAAAGTCTGAACTAAAAAGTAAAATCTTGTCTTTAAAAAACTTAAGAAATCAAAATTTAAAAACAGAAAAGAAGTCAAATACTAAGCTTCAAAAAAATATTCAAAACAAAGTATAAAAGATCTACATTTGTGATACTCTCTACAGCTTTGGCTATTGAACTTGAAGCCAGAAGACAAAAGAGACAAAAGTCAAAGTGCTCCAGGGCAACAGTGGGAAAAGTATCCTTACATTAAGAAAATGCATGATAAAGATTTTCCCACTTAATCCATAAAGTGCAAAGTCTGAGAGCAGTGTCATGGTATACATGTGCAATTCCAGCATTTTGGGAACCTGGAGCAGGAGGATTTCAAGTCCAAACCCACTGTGGACAACTTGGTGACTTAGCAAAACTCTGACTCAAAAACTTGAAGGGCTGAGGATAGCTCAGTGAAAATGTCCTAGTTCATCCTCAGTATTGCACTTACTTCTGGCAGCAATGAGTTATGACACGACACATAAAATACTGCCCAGAAGCGTTCATTAGAGAGCCAAGGGTTTTGCTGGGGTTGCCTACATTGGTATCTGCTTTCTAACAATATCAAAGTTCTTGACTTTCCAAAGAAAATTAGATTTCAGCACAGTTGTCATTAGGTCTGCTTATAAAGGCTTGCACCTAGGAAGTTTGTAAAAACAGTTCCTTCCAATGACACAAAACTTTTGCTAAAGAGTGAGAATGAGTTTCTGTGCCTACACTGTATAAACAATGAGGTTTACGTCGAACACCTGCTTTGTCTTTGCATATAAAGTTCTGGTACAGGCCCAGCATGCTATAATTACTGTAATCCCAGCACTTGAGAAGCTGAAGCAGGAGCATGGCAAGTCTGAGGTCAGCCTAGGCAACTTTAGAGAATTAAAGGCCAACCTGAACCATAGCGAGATCTCATCTCACAAAAAGAGAAAAGTTAATGCAGCATGCTTAAACCTGGTCTTTATGGAGCCAGCAAGCAGTGCAATTTAGGTAAACGAATGAGTAACAATTCTAAAAAATAAAGAGGAACTGGAAAAAGACAGAAAGCAACAGTCATCTGGATAGGTTCAGGGATATTAACAAAGCTATACAAGGACTAAGAAAAGACTCACTCTTAGTTCTGTTCAAATAATCTCCCTCAACCAGGAACCCTCTAAGAAACCCAGAAATACAAAGGACATTGTTCTTCTCAGAAAAAGGACAACATCTAAACATATTTTTCAAGAACAAATTCCTAAAAAATAAAGAACAAATTCTTCCCCAAAGGTAAGAAAGTAGACTAAGAAACTATGTACTTCAATCTTGTTATCACCAAACTAGCTTTTTGACAATTTCAAATTTAACTTTACCAATCAGACCACAAACCCCTAACAACTCTCTTCAACTGACCTGTATCTTGCAAAATCAACTACTGCATATCATCCATAATCACACCACACTGAGCAAGTCTATTCCCCTCATCAATATACTAGATACTTCAAATTATTCCAGCTACTTCCTTTCTATGATAAAACAACTACATAAACTTTTTTTTTTTCCTCAAAATAATTTCTTGAGGTAAACAGGTCACAAAACTCAGTAAGTCTCAATAACTTTTCAAATCAAAGGCCAGGAATTTAACTCAGCAGCATAAGCACCTGCATAGCAAGTACAAAGTCATGAGTTCAATCCTAGGTTAAAAAAAAAAAAAGTCAATGAACTTTTCAAGTCAAGGACAGTTATCACTGCCACATAAACTTACTGTAAAATATTTTATTCCACCCTTCCATCTCAAACTAACTGCTAAAAAAATACGTTAAAGGACAAGAGCGTATAGAGAACAGGAGATCAAGCACGGTTAGAACTTTGAAACATTTTTTTAAAAAGAGCTATAATGAAGGCAGAGAAAATAATAGATCTACTGCTAAACTCAGTTAAAACTAGAAATAATGCTGGCACAGTGGTCCACACCCATAACCCCAGTTACTCGGGAGGCTGAGACAGGAAGCTCAAAACCAGACTGGGCAACTTAGTAAAACTTCCTTAAAATAAAAAAATGAAAAGAGCTGGAACTGGAGTTCCGTGGTAGAACACCCTTCAATCTTCAGTACCATCAAAAAAAAAAAAAAAAAAAGTGGCAATAAAACAGTCATTGTGGCACATGTCTATAATCCTAGCCCTCAAGAGACTGAGACAGAAAAATTGTCACAAGATTGGGCTATACAGTGAGTTTAAGGTCAACCTAAACTACATAGTGAGGATCTGTCTCAAAAAACAAAAAGAAAATAAAAAACAAGTTTGCGTTCCACCCACAGTTAAGAGTGGGAATGAAAAGTGCTTACATAGCACACATAAGACTCTGGGTTCAGTCCTTAATAGCAAAGTGGTTTAAACAAACAAAAACAAAAGAACACCATTCCTTTACTTAGGGAAAAAAGCAGAGCTTAGTTGACAAAAATTATCTTGACCAAGGAGGAACTGATCAGGTAAAAGCATCTCTGTACTGCTACATGATCAAGCCTCCTGCTGATTGTATGTTAATCTGGGTAAGATTAAAAAGAATTTGCCCCAGCACATGGGTGTAGCTTAAAGAGAGCTACATGGGTAGCATATGCTCAGCATGTCCAAGGCCCTGGAATCAATCCCGAGCACACCTTCCCTATCAAAGAAGAAATCATTCATCCTAATTTTTGAAATTAGGATAAATTTCCATTAAAAAGACCAAATTTGTTACTCTCATAAAACATGACACAAATCTTAAGAGGTTTAGGCTACTGCTGATTACTAATATTTTATGACAAAATTTTTTGACAAAATCTCTGAAACCCTTGATGGATCTGACTTAAAATTTTAGAATTTCATGTCAGCTGCCTTTTTTCTCCCAATGCCCAGAGCTTATTTTCAGATAGGGTCTCCCTAAGTTGCCCTGGCTGGCCTTGGACTCTCAAATTTCCTGTCTCAGTTTCCCAAGCAGCTGTGATTAAAGAAATGTGCCCTACAATCAGTTTTAATTTGGCCCTATCCCTCAAAAGGCCAGTAAGATAAACCATCATAGTTGCCTCAAACTATACTTAGAAACTCATTTTTTCTCTCCTAATAGCCAAAAGGGTGATAGCCAGAAGAATAGAATTTAGATTATCTGCTTTCACTTTTGGGTTCCATATCGTATCTTTCTACTGTCAAAGTATTCTAGAATACTTAAGCTTCTTGTCTTTAAAAATAGAATATCTACTTTGTCAAGAATAAAGCTTGAACACAGGGGTTTGGCTCAGTGGGAGGGCTTGCCTAGCATTTATAAGGTACCACACAAAAAGAATAAAGCTTGATAACCTAGTGTTGAAATAGACTTTTTTTATGTTACTTTTACTGATCATAAAACACTACAAATTACACTTAGCCTTAATTCTTCTTTACCTGTTTCTTAAGCCTGTTCCAGTGCCACAACCTCCTCCAACTAAAGTCTGTAAAGAAGGTAAAGCTGAACGGCTTAGCTGCTGCCGACTAGGGCCCCTCCTTCCACCGGGCATGTCCAGGAACCAGTCTGCTTCCAGTGCCACCTGTAGCTGCAACCCAGGTTAGTGGTTGTCAAGCTGTTTCAACTCTGAACAACAAAAAAAGAAAAATGTGAATACCAGTCAGTTAGCTACTTGTAAAGTATGCAATTTTTTAAAAAGTGAGTAAGCAGACCTTGTTAAACTGTATTTTCAAACGAATGCTCCCAAGTATCTGATTTATTCTAATGAAAGGACTAACTTGGATTTTAATGGGCCAGAAACCTAAATTCTGACCCAAGCTCTGTTAAGTCACAATTGTAGACTGACTTGTATTATATATAAGATACTATGATCAGGTGGAAGTTTTCAAGCAATGCCAACTTAGTATTTTTATGTTAAGCCACTTGAAACACAGGATTATCCCTGTCCAGAACGTCAGGTTTTGTTATGAAAGGATCTGGATTCAGAGATAAGAAGTGTCACCTATTATCTGAATTTAAGTTATCTTCTGAGTTTATTTCTTCACCATGATAAAAGATGTCTACAGTCAATTTTGTCAGGACTAACCAAGATGAATGAAAGAGCACGGATAGGCCTTTTAAAGCTCTTTAAAAAATGAAAGTGCTTTAGTAATCTCTCCATTTCAGGGAAAATATCGAAAGAAACTCAAATAAATTACTCCAAAAAAACTGATGTAAAATCATGCAGAAATTATTGAAACTCTAACATGAAAGGGCCAGTAACACACAAACATCCTCACTGAAACAAAAATGTGTTTTCATCAATCTTGGTAAAAATCATGGTTTCACTAACACGGAGATCCAATGTTTTCTAACCATTATTGTCACTAAAAACTTAAGAATCACACGCTAGAAAATCCTCGATTTTCAGAACGTTGCTACAGACTGATTCGACGTTCCCCACTCCTTTCAAACTACGGGCTAAAAAGCGCCAGGTGGGACAAGCCATCAAACTTGGATGTAGAGGAATCTCTGCCAGAGTAACCAGCAAAGGCGAAGAAAAATGAGGAGCTGCACAGTGTAATGGAGCTAGAGATGGTATGCGATGGGGGTACGTGGACAGTGAAAAGACCACAAACTTCCAACAGACTGGTTCCCAAAAACAGATGACAAAGTTGTCTCTGCCGCGCAGGGCCAACGAAGGGCCGGGATAGTCGGACAGCACAGCAACAAGTTAATACTCACGCATGGAGGAGGCCCGGCCGGTGGGGCGGGATCCCAAGGGAAGGCGGCTTTAGAGACTGGACCCCAGGCAACAAACTCTCCCCGCGATAAAGCGCTCCGAAGCAGCTGCTTGTACGCAGGCCGATCCCGCTTCACAAGCTGGGAATTGTTCAGGCTTCAAGTTGCCAAACCCAGACCCTGACCCCGATCCAGTGCCAGAGCCACAGCTAACCCTAAAGGCTGAGCCTGGCCCCGTCAGCACCCATCCTCAGCCTCCATTACCACAGAGTTGAGAAGACGTGGCAGCGCACGACGATGACGTCAGCTCCGCGCCCGCCCACCGCAACAGCCACCCAAACAGCGAAAGGCTCCCGGAAGTAGACCTGCAGCCCGGAGAGCCGCACGCCCAGCCTCCTGCGCGCACCTGCGCAGTGGGTCGCCGCAGCCGAGCGCACCTGCGCAGTGAGTCCTGGCAGACGGATGCTGCTCGCGGTTCCGCCTTCGCGTCCACCTCTGGCCAACGTGTTTCCTCTCCTGGCTGCTGTTAATAGCCAGCCGTCTTGCTATGTCACAGACTGCGGCGGGTAGCTGTGGACAACCTCTCGCCCCGGTTTCACAGTGAAGGGAGATTGGTGTCTAAGAACACTGGACAGTGAAGGAGACCAAATTGTAAAGCCCTGTCTCAGAATGCAGCCGTGTTCTTACTGCAAAGAAAGAGATGCTAAAGGTAAAAAGTGAATAGCTCCACTAGTTCCGTGACGAAAAGGAGACACCAGGGAAAAACATGAATTATGATTTATGGCAGTAAATACAACATTAAAATATCCACGCTTGAAAGCGCGCTTCTGGTTGTCCAATCAATAGCATCACTCTCCTCTCTCGGCATCAAAAAGTTAGCCCTGGCTTGCCCACTGCCAAAGATCTCTAAGCAGCACGCTCACAAGTTGGAGTGCCCGTTTGGAGTTTCATCATCAAAAATGGCAGCAAAACAGGCCACAACAAAAGTTACGTGTCTTGGTGGTGATATCTGACATATGCAAGATGCTAGCAACTTATCATCAAGTGATGGCCTGGATGTAAAGCCACCATGAAGACCATTTTTCAGTTTCCCATGTTACTTCCCTCAAAGTAACCTCAAAGCTGTTGGCATAACAATGCTGGACATCCTCAGTACCACTATGACATGGCTCAACAAGCCACACACTGTAGTTACTCACATGGCAGAAGGTCTAGGTAACCTCCATGTGATAGCAATAGGATCCAGTCGTCCACAAGAGAAGACCAAGAAGAGAACGCCTTTGTCAGAAGAGGAAGAGTTTGGCACAGTCAGATGAGGAGGTAGAATATGACCTGAACAATAGAGATGTCACTGATGAGCTCCACCATTATTTTGCAGAGACACAGTGAAGGGGGCAAGGATAGTAGCAGTTGGAGGCAAAGTGTATGAGTGACCCTATGTATGCAGACCACAACCTGCCCTGCAGTTGTTTGTACTACAATATGGACAGACAGGCCATATTGAAGGCCCTGACCAGAGGCCTTCAGCGCTGCATCAGGCTGAGATGAAGCACTTGTGTGGAGACAGTACCGCCTAGGCTATAGAGGTCTCAGTGTAGCTGAGTCTTGACAAGCACTGACCCGAAGTGCTGAGCCCTGAGCACAGGGACCCCAAGGGCTGCTTCCTGAAGAGTCCCCAGCCTTGACCACCCCACCTTTTCGATTATCATTCGTTTCTTCTCCTGTAAGTTTCTTAGGGAAAGAAGCTACTATACTGAGCTATAAACATGTTCACTGAAGACCCAGTAGGCCTCTCAGGAGCCATGTATTAGCTGATCACTGGGACAAAACACCTAAGCCCCACAACTTAAAGGAGGACATATTTATTTTGGCTCATTTTGGTTGCAGAGGGTTGAGTCTGTGGTCTGCTGTCTTCAAGGCAGAAACTGGTGGGAGGTTATGGTTATCCCAGGCAGCCAGGAAGCAGACAGAAAGAGGGACAAGCATAATAATTACCCTTGGAGGTCATGCCACCAGGAACCCACCACTCAACCAGGTCTCATCTCCAAACAGCACATGACTTCATCACTGAATGAATCCACTGATGAGTATAGTACTCCCATGATCCAGCCACCTTCCAAAATCCCTACCACTGAAAACATGAGGCTGGGGGGACATTTTAGGTCTAAAGTACAACAAAGTATGTGTTACATGTGAGCCACTTGGAAGTTGGCGTGAGTTGCCCACGAGAAACTTTCTCTTGACATAAAGTGACATAATAGTATTCATTTCATTAAAGTTCTTGCCTAGACATCAAAAAGTATATCCAAAGCAGAGATAACATACAAGACAGGGTATTAAGGTGGGATGGTTCAAATACCAAGAAAAGCTTTGAGAAGACCTTGGGTTTTAATCTCAAGCTTTATGAATGAGTAGGTGGTTTGTAGAAGAATGGTTTTCCCCTTGGAGAAGAAATGTCAGAAAAAGAGACGAATTGACTCCAACAGTATAGTATATGCTTAGCATATACCCTGGGCTCAAACCACAGCACCAAAAAGCAAAACAAGTAAGAAGTGGGTAACCATATGATGAATTCAGAAACTGCCAATAATTTGGCACTAGAGCATGAAAAATGAGCCTTTGTGTGAGTTCTTCCACTCCACAGACTTTAAGCCCGTCAAGAGCAACCCTTCAAATTGATTTGAATTTCAGACCATGCAGACAAAGAATAACTGATAATAAAAGTTAGTAATATTCTGAAATGCTCCTAGCATCTTAATGTGCCACAGATCTTTCATTCATGAATATATAAAACCCAATGTACATCATTATATAATTTCACTAATTTACTGCTTGGCATTTTGTACGTTTATTTTCATATTTTGCTGTTAACTGCTTCCTAGCTCAATATACTGCAACTCCTTACCTCTTTTCTACTGATTCTCCAGCATCTTTCCTTTCTTAGTTATTTCTTTCTTGCTAAGATAAAATACCTGATACCCACAAATTAAAGGAAGATAGGTTTATTTCAGCTCACAGTCAGTAAAGGTTTCAGGCTATAGTCAGCTGACTCCAAGTCAGAGCAGCATTTGGAGATCATCTAGATACAAACCATAACATTTCCCTTTTTTCAGCACCAAATTATGTAGTGGCACTGTGTACCAAGCTGTATCCTATGCAGGAGGACAAATCTACCTATCCTCCTGAAGCTTATAATCTATTAAGAAAGACATTTGTTTAATATATGATATTATTAGCCAGTGTGGTGGTGCATGACTGTAATCAAGTCTTGCAGGAGGCTTTGACAGGAGGATTGCTACAAGTTTAAGGCCAGACTCAACTGTCTAGTAAGTGTAAGGCCAGCCTGAGCTACATAATGAGATCTTGTCTTAAAACATTAAAAAAACAGTGCTGGAATAAAAGAAGCAGAATCAGTAGGCCACCACTGCTGCTGCAGTAGATCCCACTGCCCAATCAGGAAGACAATGGAGATGAAAAGTCTCATCAGACAGCCCTGCCTTGTGGTTGCTCTCTACATGACCAGTGGAAAGTTTGGCAACCCTCAGTCAGTTCTTCACAGATGTGCTGTAGGATCCAGGGAACCAATGATTGCACTGCTGTTAAGTATCCTACCTATTCCCAGGGAAAGGAGCCCATTTTGGGGAGACCTTGGTCCCAGGTCTAGTACACGTGGTTGTGGTTGATATGTGTTTGGATGGGTCAAAGCTGAAGCTTCCTCTCTGGGGATGTCACAAGGTTCTCTCCAGGGAAAGGTTTCACAAAGAGTGGAGAAACCCCCAAAGTCTCAAAAACTATCCTCTTATCTAGAATACCTGCCCAATATCTGTATGTCAAATTCTGTTGCCTTGCTTGGGAAGTTTTCTGCCATTTCTTAGGTGAAAAGTTTTTTTTCAAATGGCTTTTGCACTATTTCCTGCCTTTTGTTCACTCCATTCTTTTTTGTTGTTGTTTTTGTTGAGCCTCCTACACAATTTTTTTTATTTTGAAGTTAGTAAAATAAAACAAGACAGAACAAAGCCAATCAAAACAATGCAGTGAAATTGGTACAGAACTTTAGGGCAGGGTACTGGGATAACAGTAATAGGTTCCACAGTATATCTTGTTATCTTCACTATTCAATCAGATATAGCAAAATCAAACCGAAAATAGAACATTATAAAACCTATCAAAACGGACTATTGAACGTTGCAAGACAGTGAACCAGAACAAAGCAAAACAGTGAAAACAATATTTGCCTTCAAAGAGAAGACAGAAGGAAATCCCCTCATATTTACTATATTGCATACAGTCATCCTCCCAAGAGATGCTCAGACCTCATGCCTCAGCTCAGCATAACCAACCCAACAATACAGGCATTTAGCTGCTTTAGGTGCCTTACCTGCCATCAATTCTGGCAGTCCACAACATCTTCCAGTTGCTAATGGGGGAGGGGAGGGATGGGACCTTTGATTGCAGTAGGCTTACAGGAGACACTGAATTGATCTCTTCCTGGCATGTCCACTGCTCGTTTGCACCACCACTTACCAGGAGAGAGGGCATGTTGCTTTCTTGTTCAGCCCCCAAGTTCCAACATAGCTGGATCTCAGGAGACACTGACTTGTTCTCTTCCTAGCGCACCCACTGCTCGCTCTTGCTGTCGCTTACCAGGAGAAAGGACTTGTTGCTTTTTTTAAAAATCTAATCCTATGTTATTTTTTTTGCATCATCTAGCAGCTGTTGGACTGATTTTTTGATGGTCCCTTTCTATTTTTAAGAAATCTTTTCATGATCACTAACCACAATCCTGTCTTCTGTATCTGATATCTGTCCTCACATTGGTCCATTCTGCTCTGTATACTTTCAGTGGAATTTTAAATCTCCTTGATATCTGTTTAAATTTGTCTTATGGTTTCTGTATCTTCCTATGTTAGGCATTTATGGTTTCCATCACTGGTTTAAAGATTTTTATTTTTTTAAACTTTATGTGCTTTAGATTCACTAATCATGTCCTTCATTATGGTTCCAATCTATAAGTTATCTGAAAAGTTATTTCTGGGTAGGTTTTTTCCTAAAGATTCATTCATTTGCTCCGTAACTTCTGCTGTTACAACCTCAGAGAGTCCAAGTGGCTTTTGAACTGTTCCTTTCATTGTCTCCTGGGTTTGCCTGTGGTGAGCTGGAAGTCTGGGGTTTCATTCTGCTTCTGTGCCCTCTCATTTTGTATTTTTTAACTAAAATCCTAGCTTGATGCTTATAAATTTCTTATAGCTTTATGGCTAGGGTTAAGAAACCTTAAGAAATGACTACTTAGAGATGTC